CTCTTACACCATCGACATTGCGCGTACAGCTTTTCTACAGGAAAATGTGAGCTCTACCATCTTTTACTCTCGACAAAAAATTAATTCTTGTACAGCTATTTATCAGACATGCGTTTGAAAAAGCTTCCTATCTAGTAGAAGGTACGATATTGATCATCCATCTAATAATATCGCTGCTCTAATTCGCCCCTAGCGCGTACAATGAATTATCGTTTAATGAGAGTTTATGAGTTTACGCGAGAGTCAAGATATGTACTCCATATCTCCATATCAAATGTTTAACGAGTCGTTAAAAAGACCCCTATGTATTAATGACGCTATAATTTTAAACAGCACGATCGATATCGCCCAATCCTCAAACAACACAAAGACAAAAAGAGTGTAAAACCTATAAAAATCTTTCTCTGAAGAATATAAAACGGCAAATGATCTTCCCGAGTTTTCGCGCCGAACCATTGTTTTACATATATCTTCCGGACCACTCAACGAAAACATTTTCGTTGGCCCATCTGACGATAACTCGCTCTCGCGTACCAATTCAAAATACATCGGCGGTATAGGTACTTGAGAACTGCGGCCACTTATCACCGCGTCCCTCTTCGCCAAATGTATGAATTTCACGTGGATCTTTATTATTATTACTACGGAATGCAATCATACGCGGCTATGGCGAACGGAAGAGCGTGCACGGTGCACAACTGTACAGGCAGAGGGAGGAGAAGGAAGAAGAGGAGGCAAGCCCGCGCCCGGGTCCGCCGCGCTGGATGCTGCATTCCCGAGAGTGCACTAATGCATGGACTGGGTTATGTAAATAGCCACGATACGGCGAACAACGCGCCGGGTTAAGCGCCCGCTTGCCGTCTCCGTAATATCGAATAACGGTGCTTCGCGGTGCGGCACGACCGCGGAAAGTGTAACTCCTCCGCGCGATACTGTTCTCCTCCGCCTTCTCTTTCTCCCTGTCACGAAATCCGACAGTAATAGCGAATGTCACGATGCGACATGAATGGAACGTGGTATTTTCATCGCGATGCCGATGACACGCGGAATTTCTAGGGCCGTCAGGTAATAGTGATTAAATTTGCGAAGCGTCATGGCGTAGAGTTATGTGCTGACTTCGAGGATGTCGATGCAGCATAAAATAGAATATCTATTATGAAATGAACGAGGAGCGGTCGCGATAAAGTGACTTAAATCCGATATTTTGATAAAAACGATCTTTTAGAAAGATTTTTTTAAATAGAAATGAATTGTTCAAGGCTCTAAATTAAGTAGTATGCATCAGATGGTGCGTCTATCACTTTTTATATTTGGAATATAGATGCATTGTGATTTGCGAATATTTATGTTAAATCCATTTCTAACTCCGTTATATTTCCGTTTCGTATCTTTACACTCGTGTTCGATCACTTGTTACATGTGATGTCAATATTTCGTCATGTGATCATCACGTTCCATTAGCTTCTTCTTCGCCGTTCCTAGAACGTCACACGAGAAGCGGTTTGACGCTATAAATGAAATAACACCTCGAGGTCTGTCGGGCAGATTAATCTCTTCCTTTCTTACGAACTTCGCGCCCCGCTCGCACGAATCCACTTCGCGTCGTAAACATTGTATATCTCTGAGGAGCGCGAGTTAAACAGATATCGTTTAGAAGTTTCTTCGAAACTGTGTAGCTTCGTTCCTTCTCAGAGCGGAGCTATGTAAAAATAGCGGCACCATTTTAGAACTCAAGCAAAAAGAAACTAATTGCGCTATTTTTCTGTCAAGATTGTCATGCTGTGTTTAGTTTACTTAACATATTTTACCCACAAGCTTTTACTTTTAGTAACACAACAATATTTATATCCCTAAATTATTAACTTTCGATGCGACTTAAATAGTTTCAATATATACAGCTTAAAAAAATATAATAAACCTTTCTTATATTTTTATTCTTTATTATTAGGTAATTAAATCTATAATTATTTTATACGTTCATTTTTCCTAAAAATTAAAGTGTTTCATATTTCATTAAAAAATCAAATGTTTTACAAATGGATCAAGTTCGATCTATTTCATGTAGTTCGTATTATATTATTACAATAGCTAAAGAGCTCGCAAAATGGAGCAATGTATACTTTTTATATTTGCGAAGAAAATAAAATATAGGGAAAGTTAAACGCCAAGCTCGATTTAACGATATTACACAACGATGCAAAGATGGATGGCATAACGTGCGAACACGGAAGAGCAGGAAGCTATAAAAAGAAGTGTTCTCTTTTATAATCGCGGCGATGTAGCTGGAACCATCGAGACGGATATTGAAAAAAAAAAGTTGATCAAAGGAATCGTACGAAGGTTAACGGTTGCCTTGAAATTGCCAACGAGGCGAGAGAATGCGCGTGCAATTTGCCTTTTTATTAGTCGTGTGCAAAATGCGTCGGGGCAGACAACTTCGTTTCGGGTTAAAAGACGAGAAATCGCGTGATTAATTCTCACGCGAGCAACGGGATTCGTTTCGTTACTGCCGTAGCTCCAATTTACTCGGCTAATTAATCGGCGTTCCCTAATTACCGTCGACCTGCAAAAATTCCGAGCCCTCTTTCACTCGAGCGACAAAGCTGAAGAAAAAATATAATTTGCGTCTCGAGTGTTAATAGAAAATGATAGCGATAAGTTTCGAATTTCAAGATAAAAGTAAATTCGAGAAAAGAAGCACATCGAGGGAGAAGGTTTTTTTTTTACAAAAGAGTTGCGTTGTTATATCCTTTGTTACAAACCGGTTACCGCGACGCGCGATTTCGCAATCGACAGGAAGGGCTCTTCCGGCCCTTACGAACCTTTCTCGGTCTCGATCGTATCTTATCCGCGTGACTCGTAAAACGTGCGAAACCGTCGGCAAGGATCAGGAAGGAAATCACGGGTGCGTGTCGCGCCATGATGTATACCTTACGCAGGTGTGCAAATGGAAGCAACAACGAAGTATCCTTAAACGCACTTCTCGAGCGTAGGCAAATAACTCGTTCTTAGACATGCGACCGCTTAATCGCGTTGCCCGCGGTGATAAAAATTTCGAGGATGTGCGGCGGCGCAGGGGTGGAATTCAATCGCCTGCAACAAGGACGCGCGCCACTTTAAGCTGCAATCGCGATTTTATGTTCCGTAACGAATCTTCACACTAGCGTTTCTGAGAAATCAATTTTACCTTGCTCTCTCCGTCTGGCGCTCTCTACGTATCACATGATAGGACCACGGTTATCTTACGCAAACAAAGGAGGCTCACTGCAAACGAAGGGATTATCATTTAACGTGACTCTTTCACACGCGGCAGGTTATTGCCATGACGCGGAGAGGGGGATGATAATTTTCTTGTACCGACCACCGACGTGTCATGGTATGGGATCGAAAAAGCAGGATGGTGACATCACGCGCGAACCCGCTCCGTCCGTTTGTCCGGTCACTGGCGTGGTCGGACAAACGTGCCACGGTGCACAAACACACGCGCGTGCATTCGGATAGGTCCCTACAAAGGCCTACACGCGGCGTCCCTCGGACTGATAATAATTACGGGAGGGGCTGAAGCGGACTTCCGCTCGACATATACTCGATCTGTGGCGAACGGCTGTCGGGAACGAAACCACCTACGGATATTTCAGGAACGACGCGACTTCGACGATTTTCCGTCGACATTTACAGCTTTTGCGGGTGGAAAATTAAGTGGCTAAATCAACACGTGCTTAACCCACAACTGCGGATGGCTCGGGGCCAATCTAACAATTCTCTTGTTTAAATAAGATAACAAAGTTGTTCTCAACACCTGTGACACTCAATCGCTCGAGGTATCTGTCATTTATCTTCTATTATTTTTGTTATTCATTGCTGATGAATGATCAACAATTATAAATATTTCAGGAATAAATGCTTTACAAATTAATTTAAGGATCTCAGTAGTTTAGGTCTTAAGTGAATTCGATTATTGATAACAGAGTCATACTATTTACAGATAACAAATTATAATTATAATATTTACTTGTATTTTATTGGTTAGAATTTCGTGCCACGCTACAGTAGTTACTAGACAGTTAGAGTTCACAGTAGGCCCGGAATAGATGGTCCACTCACTGTGTGAATATTCGGTGACCGAATGGTACTCGGGTCGTTGCAATTATTCCAACAATTTCTGATGAGATTCCACTCGTTCCGATATAATATAACGTGCATGGAGCGATGCGGTAGGAAATAGGCATGAAAAAGTATATTACGCGGGATTCCAGTATATTGTGGGATGTAACCTCACGTTGTTTCGAACGATTAGTCACCATCCGTCCGATGGCAAATCGGGGAACGCTTAACAACGAAAATAAAGACAAGCGGAAACGTGGTCTGTTACTTTCGGAATAAATAATCGCGTCGTTCGTACATGAAAGAACTCTTCGTCGTTTCGAGCCGTAAAATGCGCCATGGTCAAAGAGCACCTGGCCCTTTTCTACCGTCACTGAAAGAAGAGAGGAATCGGAGAACAGAGATTCTCAGAACAACGCGAATTTAAACTCATTCAAAATTTAACAAGAACTCATTCTTCGAAGTCGTCAAGTTCTAACTTTTTGAACCAAGAAATAGTGAAAAAAAAAATCTTTTTGTTTTTCTCCATCATAATTTCATCTAATTTAGAGAATTAAATTCAGCTTCCTCTATCGGATTCCAAAGATTACGAGTCGGCATAAAATTGTCTGAAATAATCGATTCAGTTATGAAACAGAAAGTGCACTTTAATTCCTTTGTGCTAAACAACGTATCTTCATGGCATTCCATGGCTTTCGCGCCGCGATCTTGAATCGTTTCGAAACAGTAAAGTGGTACCCATTCAGGATCCTAAATAAGCCGTGTTACATTGACAACGCGTTGAATGAAGATAAAGGGGTACGTTCGTATGTCCGAGTCGGGAAACGTTTGGCGGGGAGATGCGTCGGGGATGAATGTGCAATAATATAAAGCCGACGAGGCATAAATAAACTCACCTTTCGAAGTTTCTCCAATTCATTCGCATCTGCAGCCGGCTGTGCCGCCTGTCAAGAATAGAAAGTATCAAATTATTTGACGGCCGCCGCTTTATATGTAACGCATTAAACGTGCATTTTCAACGAGAGTAACGCGAACGCGCCCCCCTCCTCCTCCGGCTTGGATATCTGTACCCGTAAGCGCGTTGCATCTTTCGACATTTGATCGGCCCGGCACAATAGCAGATATGCACGGTCGGCGTTATCCAGCAGAAATCCCATTTATTGTATTTAAATCGAGTTGCAAAACTCGAAGGTGCGCGCGCGGTCTAACGCTCGAAGGATTTCATTGCGCTTTGCTATACGAATTTCGTAATTAGTCGTAAAGTAGGAACGCACGCGCTCGAGTAACGCAGCTACTATCGCTACTCCCATCGTAATTCAAGCGCGTTATTAAGCTTAGCGATTCCGGAACAAGTAGGAATAGTTTCTCACATCCTTATGGAAGATTAATCCACGAGGAATGTATGAGACATCTGGAAATTGCGGCGTACGCAGATTCCTGAATCAATTTGGAGTAAATTTATCAAAAGGGAAAATTTCTCAATTTAACTGAATTCTCGAAACTCGACCTTCAAACTAAATTAAATTTAATTAAAATATTAAATTATTCGAGTTAAAAAGTTGTGCTTAAAAAAAATGGCATTAAATTCGTATTGAAAAAATTAATTCTAAATTGGGTAAGAGACAGAGAAATTCTTAGATGAAAAGAAATACGTATAATCTTTGTGCGTTCACCTGTAGAATGCGGTGCAACCTCTAGCACATTCCTTTGCGCGAAATTATTTTTGTACGTTCCAGAATCTTTAGTATCGATAGAGAGCGTTTCTTATATCCCTCGTATATATAACAGGATACCGCAACATCATCTCCGGAGTGGATGATATTTCACGTGCGTAGTTACCGTTACCGTAATATTAAGAGAGAATCGCGTTGTGAAAGAAAAGACTGCAAAACAGTACAAAAGGCATTCACCTCCTTCGGCTTCGGTTGCTCCCAGAGAGCGGCGGCGGCTCGCGCCGCGGCGTCGTCGCCGTTCGCCGGCTTGCTGTCCGCGAAATTCACGAGCGAGAAGAAATTGTTGTTCCGCGCGTTGTTGTTCCGATCCTCCTCGTTTTCCCCGACGTTGTCGAGCAGCTCGTAATCCAGAGACTTGCAGTCGCGGCCGCTGCTGATGAAATTTCGCGCGAACGCGCTCTTGAAGAAGCGACCCGGCGAGACCTCGCTGCCGAGGGCGAACTCCACCTTCGGAGTCTCGGTTGTCATCGCGGCTGCCGATGCCGATGCAAAGAAGGAGGAGGAATCCTACGATCGCGAACGCACCGCGGGACGCACTGACAGATGCTGCGAGCCGCGGAATGCCGCTCTACACGCGGACATTCGCGACGCGGATCATCGCCGCACACGAGTCTCTCGGGAGAGAAAACAAAACACAACACGGTGAATTCTCCTCTAGCACCCAACGTCTCAGTCGCGCGGCTTTTAAATCGCCATCCGTCCACCGGGCGGTCGAGCAACCGAAGGAAAATCGCAAACGAGACGCACGGTACGCCGGCGCGTGTTAAACTGAGCGCCAAACTCCACGCGCAGTCCTTTTCTAGTTTCTCCTGCCTCTGTCTGCTGCGAGCGCATGCGATCCAATCGCATGACGGTCCGAGAGGGTCCGCTCGGTATACCGGGTATTGTTCACAAGAAGAGAGAAAAACTGCTGTCTCTTGTGCATTTATTGGCACGAGACACAATTGATTCGAGTTATGAAAAATAGGCGAGAGCATTAAGAATGTAGAGCATTGGAAATTGTATGTGCGAAAGAACTAAGATGTAATTTCTTATTATATAGTTTGAAATCGTCAAGTTCTTTCTCGGTTCTTGCTCAATTCTACATAATTATGTTAATTTTTTTCTACACTTTTTATAAATTGCTTCAGCAAAATATTTCAATTTCCAAAATACGTAGTATGCTTAGAAAAATGTAGTGAAACCGAGGGCAGCTCCAGCTGCAGAGGTGTAACAGCTGGATGGATTAACACCTGGACTCGTGCCTCGTGCGTATCTAGGGATTTGCGAATTACTTTCTGGAAAAATGGTTTAGAGATTATAATTTATCACTGTGAATTTTACTATTTCTTGCAAAAATATAACTTGACAACGTGTCAACTCGATATTAATTATACTAATCCGATGTTTCTGATAAACAGCTGTAATATTTTAAAGCAATCACGTTCTTAATTGGGTTCGTAATAAAATCATTGATCTAGGCGGATTTTTTGAAGTTGTAGGCTTAAAGGAGATTAATTAAATGAGAGTCGGATAGAAAATATAGAAAAACATAGGCGTAATAACACTACTTTATTACTATAGTTATAAAAACAGTTTATTAATGAAACATTTAATAATTATTAACAAATATACACTGTTTTAAGACACTTGTAATTAGAATGAAAACGTAAAATAAAATAACGTAACATAATTATCAATGCTTTTCCGTTGTACTGGATAAACTTAAATCCTCGGGTTGATTAGCCTTCGACGTTTCCTTCGTCGAGTTTACATTTGGAATGGAAATGGGCGATCGGAAATCCAAAGAAACCCTCTTGGATCTTTTTAATATAATAGGAGATAGTTCGGGCGCTTCGCCATAATGTTGAAGTTTCTCGAGTCGTTTTTGAATCGAGGGATTAGATGCGATAAAATTCGAGCTATCGCCCGTTTTCAATTTCGGCGTCGCCAGCGGCGACGTACAGTCGACTAATTTTTTGTCGGCGCTTAACGTTGAACTGTACATTTTGTTGATCGGAGTATTTTTACCCGGTGTGTAGCGCGTAGGCGTCGACTTCTTTTGCAATTCCACGTTAAGCTCAAAAGTGCATCTTTCAACGTACTTAATTGGATCCTTAAAAATCAGATTTAACGCATTTAAATTAGAAAATTATTATAAATGCAATTATAAATATAAATTGAGAAATTATTATAAAAATAAAGTATAATTAGAACAAAGAATTTGACGGAGCACGTTTTATAAAAAAAAAACTTAAGTCTATTTATAAGAACTATAATTAGAAGTGCAAAAGATAGTTATATTAAATTTATAAATTATATAAAATACATAACGAAAAAGAAGAGAATACCATAATTATATTTCGTAGATTTTCGAACGATTCGTGTAAATGATTTCGGCGAGGATTGCACGTAAAAGTACTTCTTTCCGTGCAATACGCCGCTGGGACGTTCCACGAAGTTACCCTTCTCCATTCTAAATTGCAGCAGGCTACGATAGATCCGACAGTAAGAATCTCTCCGTAGCCGTAACTGGCTATTCCTTGCCAAAACAATATCGAAAGGTATGAAGAATCGCTTAAATCCGCTTTGCAATATGCCAAATGTACAGCCTCGAAATCTTTCATACCCTACGATGTTTCCACATGAAATATTATGTTGAGAATTTTTTATATAAAATTTATGAGCCAACTTATTGTATAATTCGAAAAGTCTATTGCTTAATACTTCAATCTTTTGCAAATAAACTACATATATATATATATATTTTTTTAGTCTTTTTATTATATATTATTCTTATATTTTGCAATCTATTTTTTCTATTACCTCAAAAATTTCAGAAAATATAATAACACTTACATAAGGGGCAGGACCGACTGAACAGACAAGACCGACAGTATCAAACTCTCCGTAAGGTGGGGCAAATTCGGAATTTGCTATTTCGCATAGCGGCATGCACACTCTAGCGGGATAAGACGTGTCGCGCATCTTTCCCGGTTTAAAAATTGCAGACCGACGTGCGGTGAGTTGTAATTCGGTACCCCTGTTAAACAATTATGCTCGTAAAATCGGGCATTATGTGCTATTACATCCGCGCGGCGGATACAGTTACTCGTTTTTATGAGAATACTACCTCTTTCCGGAAGCCACGATGTTGCAGAGCGAAACACAGGCGCCTTCTTTGAGAGCGTCGACAACCTCCTCGCTGGGCGACCAAATTGAAAGAATAGCGTTCGCATTTTCGTCACACACGCGAACTTTGAGCAGCTGAGAAACCTGTCGCGGTCCCGGCAAGCTTTCGCGCAATTTCGACTGCATCCTCTGCTTGAACCGTTCCTCCTTTTGACGTAACTCTTGCAGCAATTCATCGTGTCGTTTTTTAGAGACGGATTCCTATTCATAATGGTAACGAATACGTTGACGTCCCGAAACAAATTTACAAATAAGATAAATCGAGTCGTATATATACCTCTGTAGATAAATTTTCATAATCTTTGTTCAATTGAATTCGCTCGATCGTCATATCGTCAGTTTCGCAAGAAAGTCCTTTTCCTTGAAAGTCCTCCGCTTTAGCGTAGAACGCCTCTATCTTGGACCAACATTGCTGCTCGTATTTGCTTTGCGCTTTCTCCTCGCTTTTAGTGTTTCTGACAACTGTCGCGAGAAATAAATATAAGAATTAGATCATTAACTCCCCTTCGGGGATGCCGACGTAGATTTAAACGTATCTTACTCGAATCTCCGGATGCGGTTTTCTCGTGATATAACATCGGATACACTCTAGCGACGACGATCGTCATTTCGCCGATTAAACCGCCGCTCGGACACACATTACGTAACTTGATGGGTATCGGCCCCGAACGCGGCGCGTATCCTAATTTCGTGTCCCATCGTGCGCGCCTGGTTGAATTCGTGTGTAATTTTAAGCACACGTCAGCCGGTACCTGGACGATGAGAAATCAAAGAACTGACTGATTTTCGATTCCGATTCCGATAAAAATCAAACGTGGCCTACCTCGAGTGGATAGAAACCTTGATCACAGTTCAGTAATTCCGCGCCGGATATCACTAATTTCGTGCCCTCTCTTATTTTACCAATCGATATATTCCTCACCATACCTACATCGATACAGGCATTTACATTGTACCAGCCATCGGTTAATTCTATTTTCCATTTTGGCACTCCTATATGCGGACTCTTCCCTATCTCCATACTTACGTTATTATTCTGTAAATTAAAATGCATGAAGCACGCTAAAAAATTTGCCATTAAAATTCAATATAATTAACATATATTACTTCTACTATAGATGACACGCATAGAATCATTCTCTTAGACGCAACGTCGTCCTTTTCCAAAATGCGTCTTAATGCTGGTCGCTGAGACCGATCGATTTCTCGATCATACCGATACTTTAATTGTGCCATTATGTGCGAAGGTGTTAATACTCTGAAGTGTATAAAAAAAAGGTATAAAATAATTATTCAATAATTCCTTTAGAAATTTAGACGTCTCTATCTGGCTAAGAAACTGTTTGAACTAATTTCGTAAAATTATGCCGGCTCCGCGCGACTTAATCTATATCTTAGAGACGGCCTGCGTATTATATAAACTTTCGGTATATTATACCTGGGTAACTCAGCCGAGCCAAACTTCATTCGGTCCATCGACGCCAATTTCCACACGATCCATCGGTAATGATTCTCGACCCAGCGCGCGGGAACGAGATTCGGATCTACGCCTGGACCGGCGAGAAACGCGCGGAGGAACTCCCAGACTCCCGCGTATCCGTTCTCGTCCAGGATCAGACACGCGCCGTCCTCCATCTCTATCCCGCGCACGTTATTGCACGCCACGTCGGCCCCGTAAAAGTCAGAGCAACGGAATTTGTACGTCGCGGCGGTCGCGGCGGCGATCTCCAGGATACTCGGTGGTATCTGTCGATCGATGAGCTCCTGATAGGAACGCGGCACGGGCGGCGTACCACCGCCGATTTCCCTCAACGACAAACGAGCGTTAGAATTGGTTTGCTTGTAACGATATAGATGACCCACCGATTGCTTCGACCCATGTCTCCGTTTCGCGGTGATTATCGCTTCCTGCTCCAACGCGGCCGCCAAGCGATCCTGCAGGATCTTTGTCGACTCGTCGATAATATCCATCATCACCTGAGTATCGCCGTAGTTGTTCAATTCCGTGCTACCGCCTTTTGCTCTTTCCTTCGTGACTTGCGTCGGTTTTTGCGTATTTAATTTATCGTCCTCAATCTTTCCGCATGCTGCACCTCCTTGCACAATGTTCTCTTGCAACGCTGTATTCTCGTTACTTAGTATCTTTCTGTCTGTTCGTAACGCACTATGCTCGTCCCTTTGATATCCTAAGCTCTTTCGCTTCCTCGAGATAGGCTGCCTTCCTAGAACAGGACTGCCCGCTGCATCCGCTTCGATTGATTCTATCGCGTCCCTTTTAGGTGATCCCAGGGCGGAATTTGCGACGGAAGGCGCTTGATTTTTCACGTCCGGATCTCGGTTCTCGTTGTTATCCGTGTCAACGCTCGGCGTATCGGAAAACAATTTTCTAGCTTGAAATTCGCTGCTGAGACGAGCCTTTTTCGTTTCGAACGCGCGCGTCCTGCCCTGGGGTGTGCTCTCGTCTGCATTAGTCTCGCTTAGTTTGCGCTTTTGCAACGATGCGCGCCCCAAGTCAGAATTACTTTCATCCAGGCAGTCATTGGAGAATAATTCTCGTGCTAATAATGCATCGTTGTTCAAAACCGGTACCTGTTGACCGCTTGCTGTTTGCAGTCCACCGTGCGGTATTGTTAAGTCGCGTTTTTTTATCTTTCGGCCGTCATCGCGGGTGTTCTCAGGAATGTCCATTTCTATAAGACAATCTAATTGATCTGCAAATAATGCTTTTGCTCTAGATAACGCGTGTTCTGAAATATTGATAGATGTTCCGCAAGCGGTTTGAAACCCAATGCTTGGAATTTTTACTTCTTGTCTGTTTTCTATCTTATCGTCGATTTTAGTAGCCTTTGCACGGACTGGTTCTGGTTGATCATCCACGTGTTCGAACGATATTTTTGCTTTCGGTCTCTCTTCAGAAATATCACCGATACTCCCAGTCGATTGAAATCTAATATTTGCTATTTTTACTTCTAATCCTTTCACTTTATTGTCATGAACATTAGTTTCCTCTGTAACGGTTGCTTTTAACGTATCGTCCAAATGTTCTGCAAACAATGCATTTGCTCTGGATAAAGCCTGTTCTGAGATATTGATGGCTTTACCACCAGCAGTTTGGAAACCAACTTTTGAAACTTTTGTTTCCTGTCTTTTTATCTCATTATCATTGTTATGAATGTCTTCTAATGAATCATCCAATAGTTCTGCAAATAATGTTCTTGCTTTGAAATTAGCTTGCTTGGAATTAACGGGTGTGTCGCGAGTAGTGCTGAATCCAATATTCGAAGTATTTATATCACGTTGCTCGTTATCAGAGATATCAATTTTATTTTTGGAAGTGAATTCGGTACTATTCGATTGTTCCGCGAACAATGTTCTTACTGTAGGTAGTGATTTTTTTGAGATATTAATAGGTTTATTAATTACGAAAGACGGTCGAATCATATTTTTTACTGTCATATTTTTAAATGCAGACGATCTCTCAGAATATTTTATTAATACATTGTCACCGGCATTCTCTGACTCATCTAATAACATTTTCGCTTTTAACAATGCTTCTTTTGAGATATTAATGGGATTGCCGCCAGCAGTTGAAAATAAAATAGGAACGTTACTGACTTCTTCACTAGGACTTTTATTTACTGTCATAGAATTTTTATCTGCAGGTGATCTCTCAGAATATTTTATTAATGCATTGTCATCGGCATTCTCTGATTCATCCCCTAATAACATATTCGCTTTTAATAGTGCTTCTTTTGAGATATTAATGGGATTGCCACTAGCAGTTGAAAATAAGATAGGGACATTACTGACTTCTTCACTGGGACTTTTATTTACTGTCATAGGATTTTTATCTGTAGGCGATCTGTCATATTTTATTAATACATTATCATCGGCATTATCTGATTCATCCGCTAATAACGTTTTCGCTTTTAACAGCGCTTCTTTTGAGATATTAATAGGATTGCCGCTAGCAGTTGAAATTAAAATAGGGACATTACTGACTTCTTCGTTAGGACTTTTATTTACAAGTGGTTTTTTGCAATCTGTAGAGTGTATTTTGTCATAATTTTTAAATTGTTCTGTAAGGGGTTTTGGTTTGGATAATACTTCTTTCGCAATGTTGACGGAAACGTTATTAGCAAACGAAGAGGATGGTAAGTGCCTGTTTTTCTCTTCATTAGAATTTCTTTTAGCGAATGATTCATAATTCTGCGCTTCATCCGTATCGAAGGCATCTGCGAATAGTCTCTTCGCTTTAAATAACGCTTGCTTTGAGACATTAATTGAAGTACCACGCGCAGTAAAGAAACCTATATTTTTATTCTCCTCAACGTTCCTTCCTTTGTCGATGTCCTCGATATTCTGCTCATCGTTATATTGCATGGCAGTAGTCTCCATTGTTTTTTCATTATCAAAAGTGTCAGAGCATAATTCATCTATCTTACTGAACGAGGCATTGCAAAAGAACTCTTGCGTAGATGTGTTTAAACTATCAGGTACTGCGTTCGTAACATTTTCTAATTCTTCATTATTACATGTGTCCAGACTTCTATTAGGAATTTTTGGCTCGTGATCTTTAAGAGTACACTCAAGAGATGAATTAGATATTGAGGCATTTGTAGCTACGGAATTAGAATCAGAAATAACAGGTGTTTCTACGTTTACAGGAATATTTTCATTGTTAGTCACAGCCAGTGGGTCTGTAGATATAGGAGATCTAAATATACAACGCTTGGAGCGTCTCCTCGTCGCTCTAGAGGCAATAACAGGGGACTCAGAAATAATTTTCTCTGTGCTTTTAACAGCTGAAAGATCAGGTGTATGCTGTTCGAGCTTAGGCATTTCTTCTGTCTGAAATATCAATGATATACGGAACGTTTTATAACTCGACAGTGGACTGCTATACATAAGTAACAAAGTTTATAAAAAGATGCATTACTCTTGCAGTTGAGCTAGTCATTGGTTTCGTGCAAGCCTGTGCCTGCGGTGTCTCTAAGTCGCTACTCCACTGTTCGTTAATTTTATTTAAAAAGGGCAACAGACTCAATGGTGTAGATGGAATTACGGCATCGGTTGGCATTCTGTCATTAACAATTTCACAAGTGATCATTAATTCCGAAATTCAAACAACTTATTTAACGGAAGGCATAATAATTCAATGACTTTACTTATTCGCAACAAATTTGTTCTTGCATTATCATCACTAGATCAGACACTAACAAAACTTCAAAGTACTTAACAAAATAAAAATGTGTCTTACATCGTATTGGAACTACCAAGCGATGATAAGGGTGTCTCGGGCCTTAAAATCGAGGCATCCTCGGAGACGTTGAATTTATGCCTAATCTCGTTCTTTTGTTCGTCATCTAGAAATTTGTGCGTGTAAAGAAAAGCGAGAAAAGAATGCCAATGTCGTAATTCGGGGACAGGCGGTTGTTACCTGAAAACAACTCGTCGGACTCGTCTTCGGTGCTGTCAGCCACTAGTGGACCCATGGCCGGGTTGTCCATTCTTGTCCTATTACTTATATTCGCGCCTTGTTTATCCAATTCATCTCGAGCTCCTCGTCATCCGGTTATCGCGGAGGTTGCGGCTGCACACGCGAGAGCAGCCCGTGAAAAAGAGACGAATCGACAATTGATCCGCGATCTCAATCTTGATCGCCGACAGATTCGACGACACGCGCGCACAGATGCAATTATTCGGTTCCCACGTGGCGAGTACTTGCCTCTGTTTTGAATTTTCCTCACGTAACACGCGAACCTCTCGTATTGCACGCTGCACGACGACGGAAAAAAACACGCCGTCAAGTGAGCCTCGGCCGCGCCAAACGCGGCAGCGAGCGAAAGCCGGGCATCATGAATGGCAACCGCATTGCCATCTAATGGTACGGTCGGTACGTTAGAGCTAAGATCAATTCAACAATGAACGAATGGGGACAAACGTGTGGCCTGACGACGTGAGCGTACGTCCGTAGTTTGACATAAAACATTGAACTGAAGCTAAAACTGCTGTATCTGTCCTCCACCTCCACCCCTCAGGATTTAAAAACGCTCAGTGATCCTACGATCGACTCGCTGGATAAGGTACATGAGGTATGTACGTTAAACGTGATTTATAGGTTATAAAGCATCTCGTATCTCATCTAAACAATGCACTAGGAAGCAAATTTATTCTCTTGGCGTTTGGTGCAGAGAATGTTAAAGTTTGGAAGTTATTGTCTACCTTTGATATAATTAATATAATTTAGTCTATCTAATCCTCTAACAGCATTCTTAGATTGTGGCCCTAAATGTATAAAATGTATAAGAAATATATAAAATAGATTACTAATCTTCTAGTGGAGAACTTTTAAAAATATTGCACTGCGTGCACCATTGCAAAAAGAATATAATATTTTAGCAGGTGTGAGAATGGAGCAGTTGCAGACTGCGCTGACCGCTATCAAGGTGCTGCGTTCTAACGTCGGGCAAGTGTTTGATTCTCTTGGAAATGGGTTGCGAGCAGAGCACGGCGAGGAAAATAAAGAATCCAAGTATTTGTTTGAGTTACAGGAACTGTTGACAACTGTAAATCTCAACTTGAGGTAATTAAGTAGCGTCTGAGATCAGATCTTAGTTTTACAAAGGATTAATATAAGGGACAAATTAATTTCTATTGCTTTAAAACACCATAGGGACGTGGAACAGGCGATAAGTAGTTTAAATCCCCCACCCGGTCCGTTTAATTTAGCCAGCACGACTTACCTTAGTCAGGAGACCACTCAGGAAAGACAGGCGCTTTATAGCACGCTCGTTAACAGTTATAAATGGACGGATAAGATTCACGAATATAGTAACGTTGCCCACAATTTGCTCAGTCACAGTCAGCTAAAGAGATCTTACATGATTCTAAGTAGAACAAAGAGGGGAAGATACCACAGCAGCTGTCATAATGTACCTCAGACGTAAGCTATTTTGATTATTCCTACAGTGCATGATTAGTGATGACGGTAAAAGTAACGCTGCCATCTCGAAACGTGTGAGTTTTAACCAGTTTTAACGTATACAGGCAAGTCGATTCTTTGATATCAACGTTTGACCGAACGTTTAGCGACATGACGGTAACCGTGACACGTCCGTCTGCGTCAAGTAACGCAATATTACATCTTACGCTGGGACATGTTCTAAAAGGGATGGTAGTGTTTAAGGGAGTGATGATAGAGCGGGTGGTAATCAAGGGTTACGGGGAACCGATAGACCTATGGTCGGAGTCTAGGCATAAGGTCTTCCGCAAAGCGACAGAGAACGCGCATGCCGCAATGTTGCACTTCTATTCGCCTACGTTACCCGATTTAGCAGTGCGATCGTTTATGGTAATCAACGGTCCATTAATAAATCCTAGATGCGGGTTATGTGCGATCGTTATCACGTTTTTTTTTTCTTTTTTTCAGACGTGGTTTCATAGTTTAATCACTTTATTTAGCGATCCGTGCAAACGCTGCGGCTTGCATTTACACAGTGCGTTTCCTCCGACTTGGAGAGACTTCCGAACTTTGGACCCTTATCATCAGGAGTGCAAACCATAAGATAAAGTTTATGTCTTAGGTAAATAATCAATCTTTGCAGGTACTTCGTGGATAATGTACAGTAATAAAGCGTAATAATATTTGATACCTATATTTTTCCTGAATGTATTAGAATATTATATATACTTACTAAAATAATAAAATTGTGAATAAAATACTTCGTTATTTCAATACGTCGCACGCTAACTGATCTCGCGATAATATGATAATAAAACGCGCACTCTCTTCTTTCTTTTGTATTTTTTTCGAGGGATGGTGACGAGGCAAGTAAAACATTTTCACAGAGAATGTAAGGGCTTTTATAAAAAGAATTCAATTACATAACACTTAATAAATGCAAATCGCACAGAACATCGCGCGTTCTATGAGAGAAAAATTGCAAAGTATCAGACGGTACATTTTTTTTAATCCGAAACAACATATGTACGTCATATATATCACGCGGCACTGCCGATCGCGCTCAAGATAGAAAGCTGATTAAATATACGACTAGATCTCTCGTCGGACCTGTTAATAGTGACGCTTTGAATCCGAAACTTATAATTACACAGTAAAAATAGACGCCCCTTTTTTCCCATTGCATTGTAGAAGCGAGACGACGAAAGGAAAGTATAATCGAACTTGATTATCGTTCAGCTGAGAGAATTGATGTTAGTGCTAACTTTTAATATCGTAATATACAAATGAGCGGGCGCGTAAACGTTTTTTTTTTCCTTGGAGTAGCTCTGCGATCAATGTGTATTTTTTTTTATTCCTTGTTACCTATATCCTACGTATGTATACCACTCTTAATGTCGTTATATACTATTTAGTTTTACATAATGCTAATTAGTGTATCATATGTAAATATAATTACGTTATATTATAATATACTTTTCACATAACTGTACACATTCACATCTTGGAATATTGGCGCTCTCCTAAGGGGCGCAAGTCGTTTGAGTGGCAGTGAACTTATTTTACAAATCGTTATTGTAATCACTTACTTTGTTGGACTGTTCGAAAATTTCTCATTTATCTTTTTTTTTTCTTTATCTCTTTTGTTGCTTTCCTCGAAGGCTAATGTTGTAATGCTCAATGAGTTTTAATATTGTATCATTGACTCGAAACCATTGATGCGATCATTGCTTATCTTCTTATCAAAGTCGTGATGAGTGCGAAATACATTATTAGGTCTTCGCGTTTAAAAAGTAGTCGTCTTTATAGTATATGCATATATGTATATATGTATACGTTATTATTACAATCTTTTTAGAAACGAATTATTTGTTTATAATATTATACGGGTCAATTACAGATAAGTGAATTCTTTTCGCGTAAGGGCTAAGAAGGGCCTTTCCGTTGACGAATTCTCGAGACGAAAGTAACGCAGTTCATACGTTCTACGTCCGCGTATAGACGGAAAGCGCCTTTCGTAACTCGCTTACAGATCTCGCGTTGACTTTATGTATACGGCATACTGCATCTCGAGGGTAAAAATTGCCGCGCGTGTAAATGATATATCGTTTTTGGTGCCAATGTGATCTGTCTTTTGTGAACACATATCGCAGCATGCCTTTTCTCTTTGTGAGGTGGTGATCGAAAGAAGGTTGTCTCACAGGTTGTCGCAGCGCAGATAAGTCGGATAGTTTCACGGCTACGATAATACCGAACGCGCTCGAAATTTCTTTATATCGTTTAGCGACTGTAACGCAAAGATTCGTGTTAGGTTCGAGGATCTTCGAAACTCAAACTCGACCCAAATTTCGAGCCAAAATAATCGTATGTCTCTCGGGTTTGTTATAAGCTTGCGATGATTTCGAGAAATAGAGATATAATGACGATACATATACTCGCGATCCACGACATAATTATCATACAGCCATCGCAGAGGTGTGTGTGAGAAAGAGAGAGGAAGGGGAGAGAGAGAGAGAGAGAGAGTTTATTCGCCTATCTCGGTGAAGTTTCCAATTATATTAATTTAGCGCGTTTACGCCGTGCTACTATCGCCTAGTAGCTATATATAGTTTCTATATGTATATACGCCCCTATCCTAGCTTTATCGATAATTAATATAGTATTCTGAATTCTCTGATAATACTCATAATGCAAGGAAATCTACTTTATCATATCTTTTTCTTTCAGTTGAATATAGCTTTATTGCCTTTCTCACTGATTCTGTATGTTTTGGACAGCTTATAATTAAAAACTTCCTTGGCTCGTTCGAATGATATCATAACGATGCGTTTTACACGTGATTCCGTCTGGATCTTGTTTTTCTCATTCAGTTAGTCTCTCTATCCTAAATATTATATTGCGTTTACATCGCGACATCCGAAACAACATACCAATCCAAGCCGCGTTTACCCCGCAAAATTGCTCTGAAAGGAATCAGTGGCGATTTATACCTCGATTTATATCGTAAAATTGAAATTCTAATAATCGAAATTAAGGATTAGACCAAGCCCCTTTGGCTTTTTATTTAACATTTGTATTATTTACAGGCGCGATTAGATAGATATAATCTTTTTGTTCCTCTCGTGAAATAAAGCCTAACGACCTCACAAATTCTGACAATTTTGTTCGAAGAATTAAATCGCCGAATTCCGTGAAAGGGACGAGTAGAATGTGAAATAATAAATTCGAAAGGCTTTTTTACCAATCTCTGATTTCGATGATTCATGACTCACAACCGTGCAAAATAAATAATCATCGATTATTTATCACCGATTTTTCTCAATTTTTGCAAGGTAGTCTGGATACAGGTTAACGCGAGTCTCCGTTATCGAGTAATTAAATTATTTGTTACTATCGATAGAAGCGACAGAATAAATCATCTCTCGATACTCGCGAATCTATATACCCGATTCGGCTACAGATTTACGAATGTTCGCGTTCCGCGTCGAGTCGTCGTATGCGGCGTGAGTGCAACGTAAAACGACAAACGATAGAAGCCACATGCGGGATGTGATCGGCCGCCAATTTCGTTGGTTCGTGTTATCGCGAAAGAGGAAGGGTTTCTCGAAATAGTCACGATGCTCGATCGACATCGATATCTCCATCGTGGTAATTTTTTTAGGACCTAGAACGGTTCTGAGTCAGTGGAGATATATATGCCAGCCCTCGTCTTGTCGCTCGTCGATAATGCTACTTTAGCAGGAAACGGAGTATGCTATATATTTCCGGTTATACAGGATTATCATACACTTGCTGTGTGGTTCAGTGACGTCTCTCAAGTAGAAGTATACAAGTATATACACACGTATGTACAGCACGTAGGGGAGGGATCGTCGTGTCTCCCTCGGAGTATCCCGAAATATCGAATCGCGTGCGCTTCCGTTAAAAAGATCGATAACAGGGAGGGAAGAGAGGAAGAAAGATCAATGACGGAGTAAGAAAAGGCATGCCTTTGCGCAGACTGATGGCCGTTGTTATTGATTTTCTCGATTCGGCCGAGAAGGTATCGATTCCTGTCGCAGATAAAACGCATCTGCAATCACGATATCGCCAATCGCGAATTCACGCGGAAGTTGAAATGGAAATTTTAGACCAATTTTAAGGACTAAGAATTTGCAGAACCTTAAAGAAAGAGAAAGAGAAATGAACTTTCAAACGGACCTGTTTTCTGGGGAATAATATTTCCGCGTTCAGAGTTTTAACGCCGATTTCTTCATTATTCATCGATTTGAGGGACTCTAAAATGTATTACAGGAATATTTTTAGTTAATGATTAAGGAATTGACACGTCCACTAGGCCGAAGCGTGAAGTGTGTGCTGCGTAGTGTACCCTGGCGTTTTATGAGATAAAATATGGTTGATTGGTTCGTGAGTATACTGCGATCGAGAGGCACCGTATATAAGTCCGACGTGATCGCGAACGTCGTTGAGATTGCGACTAATCGAAAGCTAATTCCGTGTAGTTTCTTTTGACATTAATTTAATGCAGTTGGTCGATGCCCAATTTGAGATCTTCGATACGAGAATCGCTATATTTGTTCGTTAACGCGCTGTTACACACCGCGATTTGTAAAGGCAAGTGTTCCTTCTCCTGTCTTCCGGTTCCGAAGATTTTTCAACGAAAAATCGCTGACCTTCCCTCAAAGCGAACTTCTCGATAAGATAGGCAGATTAAGAGGGATCCGTAGAAATTCGTTTTGATCCCTTTTAATTCCTCACTTTCACGAGAGAGAGAGGGAGAGAGAGAGAGAAGCACCCTTGAACGAATTATCTATTGGTTTAACGAATCTCCTCCCCCCTCTCTCTCTCTCTCTCTCTCTTTCTCTCTCTCTCTTTTTAAACGTTCGAATCATCAGGCTCGTCATTCGCTCGTAAATTAATTGAGACTATTCCTTTCGCGAAACGAACGAATTCGGAACACTTCCGTCTCTCCGGCAATTAGCGTATACTCGCTCTCAATCAATAATTCCGGGATCGAGCGCCGGAAATGACGAAAAGAAAATATCACAGTGTCTCGAGGGCAGCTCGTAATCTTTTTAAAGTTGTCGCGGATTTATGGCAGTCACGCGCATAGTACGCCATTCATCATCGTCGTCGTCATTCGTCGTAGTCGTCGTCGTCGTCATCGCGGAAGTAACAGCGCACGGTCTAATAATTACACAACACGGTGCGATGAATCGTACAGAGGACAGTGTGATACAAAAACGACACGTAGTCCCGACATGAGTCCTAGAAAATTAATGATATAAAAGTGGAGATATATATAGATACACGTTCGCCCTTCGTTCCGTGAAACGAAGGGGTTGCGACGACGGGGGTGAATCGGATGAAGAGCGTCCTCCTCCCTTTCGCCGTGCTCGACGCCCCCCGCGTGCGCGTCCGCCGATTCATTATTTTTTTTTTTTTCGATATCCTTCGATGTCGCACGAAGTCCCGAGTGCACTCGCGCAGTGCGTGAGATCGCGACGCGGCAATTCTCATAATCACGTTTCCCTTTTTCCCAACGCATACTCGTCTAGGCACAAATCACTTTCGCAACATTTCGATTAATCTATCTCGAGCGAGCGCGCGCTCGTCCCATCGTCCTCGTTAACGTACGCGCGGTGTCTTCTTCCGACTCGAGGAAGATCGATAAAGTGAGCCTTCCGCCATGGTCATCAAAAGGACCATCTCGCATCTGCCGTCGTCTTCGAGATTTGCCCGCTAAGCAGCCGAGCGCCGATCTCAGCATCCCTCGTAGCGTACTTATTTTACTATTCGAAACATTCCATCCCGAATTAATTTATCGTCGCTAAGCACCGAGTCGAGACGAAGGCTCGATCGGGGGTAATCTCGACGCGAGGAGTAAGCGCAACACCGGAATATTTTTTTGACGACGATCCTGATAATCATCTCCCACAAAATCATCCGAATAATTATATCGTTTAATAGCTATCACGGAACGATTAAGAAGTTACGCTCATCAGTTAATATCAGTGGAGAAAATATCGCGACGCCCCTCATTTATCCTATATAATGTTGAGGTATATTCTCATAATATTCGTTGGAATAATATTTCCCAACAGTTACCCCGATCGACCCTATGCTCTTCGTTAAGCTAATTCAGCTCGCAGAAAGACAGACAGACAGACAGAGAGAGAGACGCGATCGACCGATGAGGAACACTCGTTGCCTCAACGTGTGTCGCCTGCCGAACAATCCGCGTATTGCCGGTGACCAGCAGATGCTGCGCCTCGCGAGTCGCACTTGACCGCTTCGCCGTCGTCGTCGTACGAAACTCGGCGTCTCGTCTCCGACTCCTGACTCCTTTCGCCTCAGGCCCGGGCGTTCTCTTCTCACTGCTCGTTGTACATCGCGCCGCTCGCCGTCGCGGTCGTCTCGAAGCCCTCGGTCGCGGTCCAGCCGAGGCTGGTCGCGCGACGCAAACTGTGCCGCAGGAACGCCGCGCACGCCTTACTGCTCTCGGTGATGATCTCGTAGAGCTGCGTCTCCAGGCTGAGGCTGCTGGTGGTGAGCAGCAGCGGCAGCGGTATCGGCGCGTTCATGATCACTAGGTTACCGATATTAAGAGGAGCTGTTTCCCGTTGTCAGACACCGCTGTTCGGAAAGCGTGGCGGGGGAAGCGGGGGCGGTGGTCTCTCCGGCTGAGCGGGAGCGACGGAAGAGCGCTCGGATCCAGCTGCAAACACAACTGTGGGGTGCACGTTAGTCTCACGATACGCGACTTCCTCTCTACGCGCGCGCATATAGCCACGTCGCGTATATCTCTCTCGTCAACTACTTTCCGGAAACACATCGCTAAAAAGTGTATAGATATATGTGTATGTATCTCATACGGGACGAGCAAGCAAGCTTCTACTGCTCTCGGCGGCTGCCTCGGCCTTCCCTCGATCGAATTTTAATTTTCACCGTGACGGACTTCGATACCAGATACAAGAATCTCTCGTTCTTTCGAAAATACGGGCGGGTCGTCAGCAGGGAAATACGACGCTTCACCTTTATGTTTTAGCAATAATTCTCGAAATCAACTCGGTGGTGTTGTGTAATAAGCTCCTTCTTTGTGGCCGCTACTCTTATCTCAGAGCTAATCCCATGCAATTTAAGCGCACTTGTAAAAACTGGCCAAAAAGAAGGTCAATAGAGTTAAAAATCGTTCTATTCGTTTCCGAAATACGATAAATATTTATGAAATAAGCAGCGTTCCCGTGCTACTTAAAAAATACTTATTATCGCTCATTAACTATGAGTATTGTTTAGTGAAGCCCTCGAGTGTCGAACAAAAAGATGATAGCATTATCAGTATGTAGAATAATATTATCGCTGTCGTATGATGCTTAGAAATCCACGCGGTGTCCGGACGTTACAATAGTAAATTGTTAATTTAAAAAACTACTCCTTCGTACATTAGTAAGAATATATTCCCTCCGGCTCTTAGCTATAATTATTAATTTATACGAGACCTGATCCGACTTAAGTGATTTAAGGTTTTCAAAGCCAAACGTCCGAAACGGGAAACTCTCGCGGGAGATGAAATTACCTTTGGCTCCTACGCACTAGAGATTACATTCATGCGCGCATGCCCCTTACACCATTCATGCTGCGAAAATTGATTGTACAGCATCGTACTAAAATTAACAACAACGCCAAGTATATGTATGTACATTGGCCTAAGAAGTCATTGCATAACGAAACAAATCCTCGCTCCGGGATTGCTTCACGGATGCTATATCAGTATAATATGTGTCAATGAGGAATATACATATATTCACATTGGCCTGCCTTCCTTTAAACTACTACAAAGGCCAGTGTCGATAGCGCATAATATACGATAATATAATAATACTCGTTTTAGAAACGAAGCAGTACGTGAGTGTCTACCACTTTCTCGTTTCGTGTAATTACGGAGCGTTAATTAAGTCCAAAGTGTAGATACGATACAGGATGGAGAACTGTCGTGTTGCACAGAGATGACGATAAATAAATGTGTGTGATATGTGTAGAGCTTATTATTCTGAAACACATCGTTTGTAGTTTATTACAGAGTATCTCTCGAGGGAGATATCGCCAAAAGTCGTTAACAATAGAGGACAACTATTTTGAGATATTCGATCATTCGTTTCATGTGCGACGTAAGTTTGTTATACAGCTTGTTTCGACATATTTTTTATATGATTATTGTATATGTGCGTGAATATACTGTCAGAAAAATAAGCTCTTCTAAACTGAAATTCCAGCGAGTTTATGTCACGAGAATGTCCAACCCAAGCAGTGTGAAACAAAGGAAGCTAAGGTAGAATAGATATTAGATTAATGTCCAACTGTTATGCCGAGTGAAAACGAAAGTTCGTGAATGCGAGCGAGAGAAAGTATCTCGTGTCGAAAATTAATAAGATTTAGTGTAAAGTTTAATTTTTCTCGCAGGCGGACGAGAACTTAAAAAAATATTTGTTTGTGCAATTGTTCTAATGAGTGAATAACGTTGCAGATTAAAATTTCTGATCTCTCGGTATAGCACACGCGGTTACACCGGTATTGTTCTACTTCGTCGTGTTTTCTTTTCTAATTTTGCTGTTGTCAACGCGAAAAGGTGAACAAAGTTTGATAGTGTTCCCGCTATAACCACTCGCGAAGTGTCTTGTCGAAGCGGCACAATGTATATAGTTTGCCTGTCGTATAACCAGCACTTTGACGCCTCTGCACTTTCTGAATTATACTGAAAGCAGAAAAGAAACGTTCGCAAATAAATTCAAAACAGATGTTCCACAATGAGACTACAAATCAGGAAAAACTTACGAACATACATATACGGCATATATGGCATGCAAGATGATGGATAGGCGCGTAAAGCGACACGTGGCAAACAATTCCTGTACACTCGATGATCCGGCATCGATTCGCACGGTTATCGATGCTCTTAAAATTTTCCGTTTGCAGCGCAACGTTCAATTTCGGTGCTTCAACACTCGCGGAAAGACATAGCAGAAATTTAATGCATGATTGATGAGGTGATCAGGCGTGAAAAATGATTAAAAATAAACATAATGTGTGGTGTACATAAAAAATAAATGATATGCGATTTATAATGTAAACATCTAAATGCCAGTGAAATGACTATACTCTGAAAGTTCAACTTTGAGTTAGGTTTAAGAGTTAACCAGCGCGCGTACGTCAATTTTCATTCGATGAACGCATTCGCATAAAAATATCGTCGACGTGAAAGAGACGATTCGTGTATCGACAGGATAAAATTACGAGGAATCGAGCTCGACCGTTGAATCGACAGCACCTGATCACCCCCAATCATCGCAACGGTCCGAGGGAAAATGATAATCTCGATCGCGACTTCGCATTAGAGAATTGTTTGTCTTGGACAAAGATGACAGGGATTACAAATTATCGTGTTACAATGTATCGTGATTGATGCTGGTCAGGTTTTTTTTTTAAAGCCTTACATGAATCAGGATGTGGCTTCTCCTCTGCCACCATCAGGGCTGCGCTCTCTGCTGGCGGTATGTGTCCCTCTAATGCATTCACACAGTTTAGCATGCTCCTGTAAAACATCACGCGACTTGTCCAAATTTCCACTTCTTTAAATCACATTTTGGTTGATTCTTTTTTTTTTTGTCTTTTTTCTCTCCTCATTATACAAATTCTCGTTTGGAGCACCGATTCGATACGCAGCGAACAAAATACACGGTGAATTTGCGGCTTAATCTTATCATTCGCGTTCTTAATTTAATCGCTTTCACTCGGATCCGACGAACCACGAATCTCGTGGAGCCAGCTACACCGTTATTTGCGATTTTATTATGAACTTTGCCGGATGTTACCATATACTGCAATTAATGATCAGCTGAGTTATTAAATATGATGATACATGACATTTCGAACAATGATTGATGAATAAATGTAGGAAAGATAAAATAGCTACATAGATGCAAAGAGAAACTTAAGATGCGAGATTTACGAGGGGAAAATGTAGATTCGTCTTTATGTAGATCGCGCGATCTAAAATCGTTACACGGTGGGATAATAAATGCGAGAGAAACGATATCGCTCTGCGCTCCTGAGCGCTCCCAGCCCCCACCGGCATCCCAGATGAGATGCCTAGATAGTTATTATTAAATGACCCTAAATTATTCAATCGCGTAGTTTCAGTCACGTAGAATAAGCTAAATTCGCTTTTTTTTTCTCCGCTATGACCGCGCATAACGATTTTTCGCATATCCATGGAGGCATGGATTCAGAGATTCGTGAATCCTAGCTGGGAACGGATTCACGGATCTTGAATCGAGTAACTCTCCACGAATCCGTGCGCGTACTCACGGATCCACGGATCCGTGGCAGCGCAACTGCGGATGCGGCGCGTGTTACGCTCGATAATGCATATGTATACGTAACGATTCATTTCACAGTTTCTAATCTTGTACTATTATACAGCGTTTCACTGGCCTGTGTAGTAGAAATTTACGTATATACTTACTAAGAATCAAACATTATATTCGGCAGCCTGTGTGGCAAGTTACACACTTAACAGAAATTGATCGAGATAATCTCCTACCGGAAGGATCAAACGAAATGTCACCAGTAAATTAATTTCGACAAACAAAATTATGATACACACATATTTACATATCTTTTATAGTGCAGAAGATACGATTTCTCGGAGGTAGCTGGAGTCGCCGCATATCGACTTCGACTTCGCTTTGCGTTGCTACTCGATCGCCACGATAAATCAAAGTCGAGCCCGATCGCGCGTGAGGCGTAACACGAATGGAAGGGAGAAACTCAATCCGGATAATTAAATAAAGAAACAGATTTATTTTACAGCATTAAACCATAAATTTTACGGTCTTATTCGGTGATGCCGAAATATTCGTTAATATAATGCTAACGAGCAGTCTCGAGATCGAAGATTTATAACGTGAATTACACAGTGCGTATCGATTAACAATTTCACACTATAGTGAGTACTACAGTTCTCGTGTCATAACAATATAAATAGATTAACAGTCTGCGGCTGAGGCGCCCAGTCTTTTTTTTTTCGAATGAACGGCCGATTCGATTGCTGATTAGAGCATTCTCATTAACGTTTAAATTTATAGCTTATCGGTAGCGTGGGTCGACAGTGGTGGCGTCAGATAGGACGGTCTCCTTGCTAGAGTTAGTGGCGAGCTCCTCTTCCCTGTAAGACAACAACGTTACATGGCAAGCGAGCCTCGAATCGTTTCAGGCTTTGGTGTCAGAGAAAATCCTATTTATTTTCGCGCGAGTCTGCACGTGTCACAAGTTTGTTCGCTAATACAGATGCATCCTACACGGACGAATAAAAAGAAAACGTTCAGCTTTTCCCTCTCTAACATATCTTTATTGTATCTCGAACTATCGCAGCCTCTACTAATCAACTGATGTCTCTAAAATGTACTGTACTCTCCGAATAGCAGTCAGAATCGGTAATCTCAACGATAAAACGACACACAAGAAAAATGTGATGTAATGTGATATAATCTATATCTAAGACAGAGATTCTAATCAAGAGCATAGCGTTATAAAGCCACTTCTTTTAAATTTATAAACTAATTTTAAATATATCAATTTTAGTAGTGAACCATTATGTGTAAATTTTATAATCATTTTTCGCTGACTAAATAAATTGCTTGAGCTTTTCCTTTATCGCACGATAAGAGTATTCTACAGACCGATTGTACCGATATCGAATTGCACTAACTGCGGTCAACTAATACATCTCCTTCCCCAGCCTATAAATAGAACTGTAAAATAAAAGGAAAATTGAGTGACGCGAGTAACACAAGACTAGTTAAATCAGTTGTCTGAAATACAACTTAGCATAAACAGTTGCTTTAACATTGTTACAAGCTGCAGAGCGATCGTATTGTTAGTTTGTTATTCATTAAGCAAACCATATTACAGGCGAGTGAGTAAATTCATCAAAACACTTAGTATTTATGTCTTAAATTCTCCATCACCATTTCTTCGCTTCCGAAAGCTTTTCCTGCGGTATAATATAAATGTGTTAAAACGCGAGAAAGCTCACAAATGCATTACCTACGATCCAATATTAATTACCATCCAATTATAAGCACGATGACGTTACGCTGACACTTTTTAATTGGCTTGCCTCGAAACAAACAGATCGGAGAGACTTTCGCTAAATCATAATCAGCTATCGACTTAACTACCCTGACGGGTAAGGTTCCTATTTAAATTGTTGATGAATGTTTCGGCAAAACCTTGATTGAAATAAGAGTAAAAGGAAAGAAACCCGATGGGAACAAAAAATTCGTATCTCGTATACGAGTTTATCGAGAGCTGCACTGATCAAATAAAAGAAAACTTGTCAACTCCCATCGCAAAAATTAATTAAGCGCAATTATCGCCCGCGATGTTTACACGACGACGAACCGGCGATAAAATGATGCAAAGCGGCGGTCTCTGCCACGTTCTCGCTCAGCTTCTATCAAAATTAACTCTCCATTTTCAAGATCTCGATATAATTGATGGAGCTTTGACTCTTACCCAAACATCTCTGTAACTCTGTGTCAAACAATTGCAATGTTTATGTTTTTATGTTTCAAGAATTTTATCGAAAAGTATTAGGACTCAAATTGATTTTAATTGAAATAAAAAAGTTATTTTTCGTACAATGAAAGTATGAAATTAACACAGCATTTTTTCGAAAATTCTATTTTCTAATCAGATCTCTTAGAGAAAAAGCCATAACTCTATTAATTGTATCGAAATTCCAAAAGGGGGACGTTAAGTTTACAGAAGCGTCTTGCTCGCCGGTCACAAACACGTTTGTGGTATCGTATCTCTTAACACAACTCAGGAATCACTTTGGTACGCCAAACAGTAACGTAAGCACTAACATGCAGTCGCACAGTACAGCGCCATAAACTCGTGCCAACTATCGACATAAAAACCGTTCCAAGACTCTGCCTGTCGCCGAAACATTTAACTGGGCATTGTATGTACGCTAAAAGGAGCATGCTGTAGAATACAAGGCTCCAGGAGGAAGTCAAGTGATCGGGGCTGTTATGTACGTGATCTCAACCGCGGCGTTACGGGTATACGCGAAGGCAAAAGTTTCCTCGTGTTTCCCGGATATGAGCGTGATGTATGCAGAATCGCGGATGTACGATCGAAAAGGTTGTAAACACGACAATTTATTCGAGGTAAAAAATAAGGTTCGCGAACGGCAGTGATAGAGTGCGGAATTATGCGGACATCGTCGGGGTTACCGCGGCGCAGATGTATGCACGTTACATATCGATTACATAATAGCCCTGACGAACTTTTAGAAACTGTGAAATGTATCTCCACAAAAGAAAAACGAATAATTTATATATGGTAACAACTTAAGTTCATGCAGCTATATGTATGTATATCTGATTCTTTTAGTCAGCCCGACTGATTACGCAATAAGACGGAGACTCGCATTAGCTGATAGTAAAGATGTTTCGACATGCCAGGCCCTTGGATTAAAGTCATGATAATCGCGTGGCCGGGGTCAGGATTATTTTTTAAACAGTTCAGCAGTCGTTCGTAATCGTGTCTCAACTCGATCGCGTCTAAAACGATGATAAGCGAAATAAGAATATGGTAAAACAAGAAGAGAATGTTTATTTCGATTTTTCTTCTGCTTCTCTCCTGTATTTTAATGCTTCCCGACATCTGTGAGAAATGGTTTTAAGCCAGCTTTTTGCAGAGAAAGATATTTTACTTGCACACTGAAGGATTACGGGTGTTTTTTTTTATTCAGCGCATAAAAAATAATCCCTCTTTTGGATGTAACTAGTGGTGTCTTTGGTCATTTATCTTCATGCAGTTAAATAGTAATCGGTAATATATGTTCGGTATAATATATCTCGTAACAAAGCCACCACAGTAACAGGAAATGTGTAGTAGCAGGACTCACCCATAAAGTCTGCTGTCCCGCAAGCTGCTCCTGCTCCGAATAACACAGAAAGCACAGTTACGATATATCGAACACAGTAGTCGGTCATCGTAGTAACGAAATACGGAAAATCAACGAAAATTATCCAGTTATCCAGAGAACCATGAAATAATCGATTTATTGAAACGATACATGTACAGTACGTTAAACAAACAGAATATATCCATTTGGCCTTGAAAATATAACAATAAGACGGCAAAATTTCCAACTCGCGACTCGAGATTGAGTAACTTGTCTCTTACACATAATTCTATTCGAGAGAAATGTCGCAATTAAAAGTATCGTCAGTAAAAAAATGAAATAAATCGGTGTTTCACATCACCGATTGTTTTTCTACGTAACACAGAGCAGATACGTTTTCACGCGATCCTCTCCCGGAAATCTAACGGAATGTCATTTGGACTTCTAAGAGGATCAACAGCTCGAGATAGCTGATTTGTACTTCGTTCGCAATATTCCGCAAATGAGATGCTAAAATTACGTTCTGTGGCGTTTACACTTTTCAGAAACTAATAATCTACGGATGCTGCTCCAGTTTCTTACGCTTTTCTCGTACAATAATCTCGTTACATGATTCGCAATGTCGTGCACGTTATCTCTTTCTATTTGCTATCGATTAGTGTTGCGTCTTATTCGTAAGTATATGTAAAAATGTACGTAATTTCCTTGCAACAGCTTAACGGAAAAGAATTCGGAAATATCGGGATTTGCAATAAAGGTAAACCAAGCCCGTGACGAAACTTGAAGGCGAAAATTTACAAACTACTTTAGCTCGTACTTAAATATGTACAAATAACGTTCCCCGTATAAGTGGAACTTAATTTCCTCTCTCCCTAAAAAACAAAACTTTATCACAGTTCAACTCCTGTTATTGCTTCGAACAAGCAGCGAGATTGCATGCAAAAAATGCGTAGCGTAATATACTACCCCGGGAATATAGTATAGAGTTATAATACAATAGAGAGAATATATACGATCGTATTAATAAATTATAAAATTCTTCCTTGAAGATTTGAGAAATCCCTATTACAAGTAACGAACATTTTTTTCGTTATCGAATATAGACGGACGGATGAACGTTCGGACGGATGTGATAACAGTACATTGTACACCAAGTACGGCATATAGGATAAGTTTATCTAATAAGTCTCTCTAATTCTCCCCTTTCCTTGTGTGCAATTAACGGTTGATAAATTGTGCGGTTATTAGTTCGAAAATGTGAATTTTGATTCTCTTACTTAACTTTCAAACGTACCCAATATGAGTCGAGTCAAAAATAAACGGGATACAGATTGAGGGGAGGGGGAGGGGCTATCGCGGATTTAAGCTATACATACGTATATACATGTATATAGATATACCAGAGACCTCTTTTTGAAAGAAACTAAAGAGAGGCGGATGCAGAATATATCCAACTATGTATATAACATCTTGCTATTATGATACGTACTGGGGAAGGTAATAATTTGCTTATGTGCTGCATACCTGTCGTTACCATGCCTGAATAAAGCTAGAATCTCTTCGAATGTTTTATTCTTGGTCTCAGGAACCTTCTTGTAGGTGAAGATCCAGAAGATGGCTAGAAATGCACTGAACGGTAGGAACGTGTAGTTTTCAAGGCTACTCTGTAACACACAAACGCGCGCGTAGCAAGTTTATACCAAATCAGATCTACGCTCAATCTGATTATATCCTATACAACCTTTACGTTCTATAAAGTCCATAATAATCTTAATGTAGCAATTATAGCGGTTTTTTCGTTGCGCTCAATTATTTGCAATTATTCGATTATATAACCGTTCTATTATTTGCCTCGCGAATGGAGGAAATTTACTTAAAGGTAAATTGTCGTACCTTCATGCTTGGAAAACCGATGCCAACCAAAAAATTAGCCATCCAATTGACGAGAACCGCGATGGACATGGCGGCGGGTCTAGGGCCTTGCGAGAACAGTTCCGCCGTGATCATCCAGGGTATAGATCCGGGCCCCACGGCGAAGAACACGACGAAACACAGGGTCGACACCACCGAGATGTAGGACATCCAGTCGATCATTTCCTGCACATAGCCGAAGAACTCCTATCAGGCAGTAGAAACGTGTTCTTCTTTCCTGAGCAGCTGGAGGAGCCCCAGGAAAAAATTAAAAAAAAAAAAAAAAAAAATACGGCAAGCCAGGAACTCAATAACTGAAAAAACTCGGATAACACATGTCGAACGTATACGTAATAATTTGTAATGCCACATGCGGTGCGCAGCTCAATCCTGTGTAATGAAAGGCATTGGCATTGACAAAGTGATTGCGGCAAAGTATTTTGTATAATGACGGAGTGCCTTGTTATATACAGTACAATCTCTCGTTAAGCGGTGAAGCACGCTGCTTTTCATGATGAGTGCCAGGATTTGCTTTGACCTCAATTAGAGTATAGATAATGCGATTAGTCGTACGCACGGAACATCCGTGTGTAGGTAGTCTCGAATCGAGATATCTTAATATTCATTCGTTCGATAGTTCAATAATATATATTTTCTTAAACAATTTTTCGCACGTGAAAACGACCGTCCTCGTAATTTCGATAGGAAGATGAGATGCAAATTTGTACGCGACGGCTCTTGTAATTAATGATAATTGACGGGAAAGCGAATTACTCTTTGTCGAATTCCGTGACTCATGAAAGTGTCGGTGCTAAACATTCAGCAGCTAAAGAACCGTTAAATTTTATCATAAAGGATATAATTGATATATATATGTGTTTGTGTGTGTGTATACATATTAGAGACTTTGCGTATAATATGTTAATTGTTGATGTAACGTGATAAAGAGTGACAGGTTTGAGCCAAGTAGAGAACATAGGCTGATTAATAAACGGGAAGTAAATATCTCCTCCAGACAGTCACGAAAGAGGTCGTTAGTGGTGAAGAGGAGGAGGGATGCGGATTATTAAAAAGCAGAACTACTAGTAAGCCAGAGTAACAAAACGGCGTGCGATATACGATACATGCGACACTTGACGTCTGCATTGCTATCAAATTCTTTTCCGCGCTTCTATTATCGGTCGCTTAATCACGCGTTTAGATAGGAGAATCATTTATTAATGATAAAAACAATTGCTAAAAATATTCTTGTATCTTGAAAAATTGTTACGAAAGAAAAACTTACACACGTAAGGCACGTATACGTGTCCATGTATCGAGATATAAAATCTCTACGACGCAAGTGAAAGAAACGGCATGCGGGCAAAGGACGTGACTTATTAGCTACATGAATGGCGGGGAGAAATTAAAATGAGTCGATTCTGTGATGCAGATTCGTATAGATATTAATGGTGATTCTCACTGTCGGTGCAGTGCCGCACTCCAGCTGTGAACAAAGTGTTAAAATACACCTTTTTCGCCAAGGTGCATAAAGTGTCAAAGCACAGAGACGTAGCTACAATTCACGTTCTTTGTGATGCAATTTTCCTGAGTAAAGCACAGTTCTTAACAGTACGGAGAAGTATGAACAAATAAGTTCGTCATTGTCAATGAGATCTCCATCCCTCGTCAAATATTTTTCCAAATAAGTAGAACGTACGATAAATTATTCTTATTATACAAAAGCATCAAAATTTAAGTTAAAAGAAATCTTGTTTCTTCGGTTTTTTTAAAACTCTTCGAAGAGTCAACTTGAATAATTCAATCCGAAAATAAAATATACGTCCACGATTTTAAGATCTTTCAGATTCCTACGAATTCTGCACTTATAATTAATATATACAAGTCATACTTTATTAATGAAAGATCCGTATCCATGATATTTAATTATCGTTCTTGAGACAACGCTGTGAATTGCCGAGTAGCAAGAAAATTCCAAAGTTAAATTGCCTGTTGCAGTTTAGCATTAAAATAATAAGTACGATAAACATAACGATAAATAATAATGAAGCTGATAAGAACGCGCTAAAATTTCAACTCACCTTTATGAGAAACGAAATTGTGATGAATATTGAAAAGATAAACATGCCACCGAGACCGTACAAGTGCAACGTACGCCTTCCTGTCCTATCCATGAGTGGGATAGACACTAGCGTCATACAAACCATGATGGCACCTATGCCAATGGTTGCAAACTTGGCACTCTCGTCCGTTAAACCAGAACTAGTGAACAGATTCGTGGAATAATAAAATACCTGGAACGCACAATAATTTTCACAATCAGATCGCTCTTTAAATAAAATTGTGATTAATGAAAACGAGAGGGAATACGCGCGAGTAATAGAACGAAATAGTTACTTACGGCGTTGATACCCGAAAGCTGCTGCGAAAGTTGCATAACCACACCAATAACGAGAGGTGCTCTTAAAGTTGGACTGCATATAAGCTCTGTCATCGATATCGTGGACTCAGCTTGTTGAGCTCGTTCCTCCGCTCTCATCTCCTCAATGTCTTCTTCTACTTGGTTACTGGCTCTCAACCTTCTCAAAGCTTTTCGAGCCTCTTCCTCCCACTGTTTAGTAATGAGCAAATATCTGAAATAATTTTTCTTCCATTAATAGACTGTGGTACCGCTTGTGTATGTTAATTATGAGCGAAGAACCGTAGATACGTAGATACGTAGAAAATTATGGATGCGTATTTTGTTATCGTTAAATCCTTCGATCAGGCTCTTCTTAAGAGAAACCTACTTAAAAAAAAACCGGGGAAACCAGATTTCTTTTAATTATAATTCTGATGTATATTATTTTCGACACACACCTTGGAGATTCCGGGCAAACTGGAAGCAGCAGTAGCTGTAGAATGGCAGGACAGATAGCTAGTCCTAAGAGAACGGGCCAACCCTCGTTTGTTCCAAGGATTTGCTCGATGCCCAGCACCTGGGAGACCAGGAGGCCCACCGTAACAGCGAGCTGGTTCACCGTGCCTAGGCCGCCTCTCAGGTTCAATGGCGCTATTTCCGATATGTACATGGGAACCAACGAGGTGTTCAAGCCACAATTAACACCGATGATGAACCGTCCAAAAAACAACATCTCGTACGACTCAGCGAGCTTCGTGAAACCCATCAGGCACGCCCCCACGATGCCCAGCACGTTGTTTAGCAGTAAGCCTCCCTTTCTACGATTCAGGGCAGAAGATCAATATTAATTTCTGTCTCTTTCCATTTTACGATTATGCAACAATTATCATTCTCTCAGAGATTTCCAAATTACGAAACGCGGCGTTACGAAATATCGAGATCTCAAAATCTCGGGTACTCGCAAGTCGTCGCGTCGCGTAAAAGATCCACGATGCGATCTCGCATACACTTGATGCGAGACACTACCGTGTCTCTTGATTATTAAGAAGATTCTGCGTAATATCGAAACAAGTATATTTATTTATCAAAAATTGCGGTTTAAAAGATAGATTATGAAGGAAGAAAAGACGCTAGTATTCTAATTTTTTTTATGAAAATAACGATAGTATTATATAATTTGGAAAGCACTGGTCTCTCGTTAAAATCATGTGAAGCTAATGTGGTATTGCTGAACCAGGCACCGACCTGCCAAATCTGTTGGCAATTGTCCCTCCGCTGAAACCACCCACCATACCACCAATCGCGAATATGCTCACGGCCACGGAGTACAACGTCTTAACAGAATCATCCGAAATGTCCTCCCCATACCTATCCTTGTACACATCTTTCATAAAATTCTCTATATTCTGCAAACAGTTTGAACACAATATATTATAAAAGTGTCCGTTTATCAAAATTATTCTAGGCGCGTATACATAGAGCCGTGACTTTACGTTAAGACTTTACGTACCACTTCAGGCGCGTTAATCACTCCAGTGTTGTATCCAAACTGCAACATCCCCAATACGGCTGCCAGTATCGCGTACGACAGGAAAAGCGTCAGTCCCTGGAAATACCCGGACTTATCGTTTACCTTGCGTATGAGATATAATTACCCCCCCCCCCCATGTACATATATATTACATACACAACATTTAGTACAGCCACATATGTGATATAAATAATAAGAGGAAAGAAAGTGCTGCTAATGGGATGCATCGTAAATGCAAGATAAAATAAAAATACAAGAACGTATAAAGTTATTCCACAATTTTTATTAATAATATCGTACACGCAGTGCCGATGAAAATCCACATACATTTTTAAAGAAATAAAAATTATAAATTACCTAAAAAAAATTATAATACGCACACATACACGATCATTCACGACATAGCAACTCAAGTTCTTAAAACATAATAAAAGTAAATAAAATTAAAAAAGCAACATTGTCTAACGCCAGAAGTCACCTGCTCCAAAAGCCTAAGTTTCCGCCGGTGGGAGTGTTCTTCCAGTCGATTCACGTACTCTCGTAATTCCTCTATCTCTTCCTTGACCTGCTGTACCGTATCTAGTTCTTGCTGCGAGTCAAGAAAAAGAACACCTCAAGTACTTCCGTACATACCAAATGCAATTTTTACATTATTGAACGAGTGGTAAAACACTCTTTCAATAACGCAAGGAATTTATATTCTTAGGCATTGAACTTTAATCTATGTAACTTTAATCTGGTCTCCTCTTGGTTACGCACACGTATTGATTTATCTACGGCGATTTATCTGCTCGCCTCTTACGCATTCCGAATTATCGTAATTTGATATATTAATATTATTATCCTACAATCTCCACTTTCAGATAATCTAAGCAAACAGTCCCTTCAAATTTTTTTTCTGTCAAGAAAAATTATGAGATCGCCTCGTAGTAATTTCTTTATCGTATTTAAATCTGTTAACAAACATCGCGTATTTTTTCATATTTAATATTAATATTGGTATAATTTTAGATCAGAGTATATAAATCGCAAAAAATAGACGCAGGTCAAGAGTACCTTAATCGTGACCATGTCCCGTTTCACCTCGCTGACCTCGCTCTGACAAGACTCTACGCTCTTCGTGAGTTCCTGCAGCTGCGTGCGGATCTCGCAGAGAGCGACGGTGGTCTCCAGCTGGCGGTCACCCCGCTGCAGCTCGTCCAGCTTGGCACTCAGGTTCATACTCATAACGCTGACCTGTTTCTGCAGACTGTCCCCACACACATAATCCCCGCGTGAATCTCGCTGATTCGTACGGGAGAGCGGATCGACAATATTGTCGAGCACACTGACACTAGACGTTCAAGGCTAGAGCTATTGCCTAAATATCCCTAAGATAAGTCCAACTGCCGAGCCTCTCCGCCTGGCGAGACCGTTTAGCGCGCGGCGCGTTTTATGTGCATATATGGTAGCTATACCGCGTATACTTGAAATATGAGGATGCGGAGTTATGCGACGTTGTGTAGAATGAAAAGAGAAACGACTCGACAGGTGCAAAAGTGCGGAACACCTTCACCCCCGAGAGCTCGAAAGCGCGGCGAGCCGGCGTTAGCTCGGCAGCCATGAGGAATGTTGGGTAAATGTTGTAATATAATAATATACGTGAACAGATAGCTATATATATATACACATATGTATAAATATAAAATATATGTATATATACATGTACAATCGGCTCTCTCTCTATATAGTATATATTTATATGTAATAAATATGTCAAATTGCAGGAAACGATAGCAGACAAAACACAAACGCCACTAAAAGCACGTCTAGGGTGTGTGTGGTGAGTGTGAAGGGTGATAGACACTACAGGTGGTAATATAGTACATAGTATATATATGAATATAAATATATTCTTCGCAGCTGTGCACATATTAGATGGAAGTTTGTGAATTCGCGTGTGTGTAGATATAAGTGCCTCAGTATTTGTTGAAAACGTCGGCGTGATACTCTCCGTCTGTGAAAAGTCTAGGATCTCGCGAACCTAACCGTATCGCCTTTTGTATATCACTTCTCTCACGTATGTAATTATTTTTTTTATGACCACGATGCATGAATGTGCAAGTGAGTGAAAAATGGCTGATATCTCGCACTCTACGTGTACAAAACGTATCGTGAAGGATCATGAGACTTTCGAACGATTCGGTAAATTGGCAAACTCATCGATCGATGTGCACAGCCAAGCAGAAAGGGTGACTTAAGATGATAATGTAATGGAATAGAGCGAGAGAAAGAGAGACCGAAAGTTCTTTTTTTTCTAAGATATATGATGAATGATAGGTGACAGCAGAAATGAATGAGCACATGATTCGAAGGCGCGGGTAGATGAGACGGAAGGTAAATGACGTGGGAAGAAGATAGAGGGGTAACGGGCAGATATAGACAGACGGAAATATGTACACTTATCAAGCAAAGGATTGCACCACCTCTCTAGTCGAATAAATGGGAAACGAAAAACAGATTTAAGAAAGGCGGGAGGAATCGAGGTACCGAAGATAAGCATCCAAGAATCGAGAACTATTCGAGAAACGCATTCAGGAATGAGTGCAGCTAGTAATCTATGCATCCAAAGATCGAGAGATTGAGTATAATAATATCGATGCTTGATTGTAGATACTTTATTGCTCGAGAAGAAGCATAACCAAAAGTGGTACAATTCTATTTTTTGATATGTGTACATAAATACAGAGACAAGGGAGAGAAAGAGCAGGGTAGAGAAAAAAGAGAGATAGAGAGAAAGAGAAAGAGAGAGAGAGCAGTGATGATGTTGTCATGTACCTGGGAGGTAGGGAGACCATGGCTGTGTTCCGAAACTACAGTAGCCTCTATGCCTCCCCACTCACTCCTCTTGATTCAGTTTTTCGTCTTATTCTCACAGAGATCTATTTGTTCTTTGCTTTGTTCACACGACATATGTACGTACGTTGGATTATCCACCAAATCCAATCAATTGACTCTGAACTGCTTGTTGTCAAGTGGTTGTCCACAACGGTAACGTATACGGCGGGAGGGGGTATAAGGCCCGACGACGCCCGCCCCTGCCTCCTCTCTTATCTCACTCTGTAAAACTTTACCTAGTTTGGAAACACAGTCGTGGTTCAGTCATAAAAATCATGTCATAATGATATATTCGCTCGCATTTAGTAACCGTGACGTCCAATTCGCTTCTATATTATATATTATATTTAAAAAAAAAAGAAAAAAAAGGAGACGGAGCCGTCACGTGTGAAAGAGAGACTTTTCACACATCACCATGCGACGCACCGCCAGCTTACTCACCCCTGCCTAGCCGCCCGCGTCCACAAGCGAGCTTGCACAATTTGAATGGCCCATCACTTTATGCGGAACGAACAGTCGGCAAAATAATTTACAAAAAATCAGCATGACCTCATGAGTGTGATAAAGAGAACGAGACACGCACACAAATAAGTCACAGCGACGGCACATTGAGCGACAGAGTAGTAGTGCGTCGTCTTGCGAGGATCTACGACACGCGGCAGCAGCCCCTCGGGGGGCCGAGGAGGATCGTGCTCGTGATTAACTATTTGCGTTAACACAAAAGTGAGTGACTTGATTTGAGATGCTTGGAACGCACACAGATTGTTCCAGTGCAAATCGCAATCCATCTGTTATGTCAACAGATAGGATATTTTTTTTCTCTCTCATTTAGAACATTTTTTTTTACAATTACGCGGGTAATTTCGTTGCAATCGCGATTCTTTTACCAATGGCATAACGGAATTTCATCGCGAGTCGCTTCGTTGAGAACTAATTGCCTGTGTCCCGGTACATGTATGCCGTATATATATTATATATATATATATGTATAAACCGGATGCCATTACCGGTTCCCCGGTCTTTACTCCTCGTTTCGAGCTCTAGCTATTGCGGGCTTATTTGTGCACCTGACTTCGAGAGGGAGACATGATTTTCAAATGGAATGAGCAATCAGTGGTAAGCCTGCGAGCGCCGCAGCCAAAAAATTCAAGTAACAACGGTATATATCGGTAGTGTCTGATCATCGACTTGTTATGAGACCGAGAGTGTGTAGTATGTACAAAGAATAAGTTTAAGAGCGAGTGTGATTTATGTATAAATGATGAAATGGCATGGCACAAAGCCTTGCATTTGCATTCTCGGATACATAGAGAGTCTATATAAAAATAATAAGCGGGGAAGACGTCCGTTTCTTTCTTCTTTTTCCTTTTTTTTTCCTCCTTCTCTTTTCTTTCTTTCTTTTTTTCGCCAGCGCGTGTTTGTCGTAAGGTAAAGGCACCGCCACTTAGGCCGGAATTACCTGGATGCATTTGCAACACAGTTAGGTTCTCGAGAGAACGATGTTTATGAAATGGTACGGTCGTAAAAGTCGTTTTCGTCAGCAGCAAAAGCTTATATGATCGATAAAATAAGTGTTATCGATTCGGGGGAGGCGGGGGGCGCACTTTAACACAGCGGACAAAAGAGAGCGAGGAGTGTCCCCTTGATTGGTATGCGAGTCTCGAGAGCTCATACACGCCGCTCTACCGGAGGTACTAAGCTAAGTTACTCGTGAGAGATTCAAAGGGCCAAGTCTCTCGTGACTGTTAACATTAGCACGATGGAGCCCCCATTATGCGAACCAGCGGACGAGCGTGTTGGAATAACCGAATTCAGCGATAACAAGAAAGTACATTTGATATCGGGTGAACGAAATAATTATTCATATACCGACTAATTTGCTTTCTTCCCCTGAATTGTATTCGCCAGAGAATCGCTCGTTTTCCTCGATTATTATAACGCACGTACAGTTCTTCATAATTTTATTGGACGAGAAACGCGCCCGATTGTGTGTCGATCGAGGTTTAAAAATATGCGACTGTATAAACTTCGGTCAAAGGAACAATATTAGAAATAGAGCAGATCGAAAATAAATCACTCGGGAGCTGAACGTTCGAATAATGGCGATACTCTATCATGCCAGGTGAGATTTAGGCGATAGGTATAGAGACTAAAAAAGAAAAACTTTCTACGCTTCACTCGTCATGGAAAGAGTAAAGTATTTCTATACAAGACCCTAAAAAGAGGTCACTACTAATGTGAAAGTCAATACAGAATTCTAAAGGCTAGACTATGTTAGAATAATATTTTAAATAGAAATTCTTGAACATTCGCTCGCAACATTCGCGGCGTTAATCCTCCACGACCGCCGTTGTAGAAGAAAAGAGATTATGTGCAACACCGAAAATTCAATTACCTTACTACATGTTATTTTTGGGCCGTAGAAACCCATGTCCGGTCGTAGAAGCTTAACGTTTCAACTGGCACGAACAATGCGGAATACTGGTAAGCTTTTAACCATTTGAATCTGATTTTAATAGTCGTAAGTGGGATATTTTTGCAAGAATCGCGAATAGCTTGCAACGTTATGGTCGCTGACAGGAGTTGGCGAAGTGCGCGATGGCACAGGTCCTTCGCAAACTTCTATCGGCGCTGCTCAACGTCCGACAATCCAGATAATTCTTAGAGACATCGGTGGCGACGCCAATTGTTCTCGGATAACGTAATTCGTGTTTTAACATCGGGTTGTTATAAAAGCTTTGTTGGTTTTTCGATGATTACATGAGCCCGGAATAATTACATAAATCAGCAATAATAAGCCATTTCATGGATAACTATCCTTTAGGATAACATAAAACCTTGAATTTTTCTTTTTATAATTGTGAGAAAGCAGGGCGATAACATAACTGGATTGTGCATTACAGATTTATAGATTCTCTCGTTTCTCACATAAAACGAGAGAAGAGAATCCAATAGTAATTATCGTTTCACCCAGCGGGTTCTTATCGAGAGAGATCAACAAAACTTCGAACAACGATTCTTCTTCCTCCTGGCGTAGTGTGGTGCGAAAGTTGTTTCGATAACGCGATAACCGATGATTCAGAGTGGTGTACACCGACAACTGAGGGATTGAGGACCGAGAAAGGGTGAGAGGAGACTCGTCGTCTACCGTCTACTTCGCGGGAGGGGTGCGCGCGTACGTAGAACGTACCTTACGAGCAACTCCCGTAGAGTGGCTTCATCGTCCTCCTGTACCTCTTCCTGCGTCTCATTACTGTACGAGCCGCGGCTAGGGTGATGATGGCGGTGCTGCCTGCCGGTCGTCCTGCCGCCGGGGGGATATTGGCCGTGTGGCCCGTGTTGGCCGTGATGATGGTGATGGTAGTGCGCCGCCGAGGCGTTGGTGCTGGCCGAATGCAAGTACCGGGCGACGGTGTTGGTAGCGCTCGCTCGCCCCCTGGTCAGCTTGTGGCCGGCAGCCGCAGGAGGCGGCAGTACGGCGCCTGTACCGGGCTCCACGTGACTCCTGCGCGCGGCATAGCGCTCCTCCTCCACCCTGACGACGATGTCCCGCTGGCGCGCCCGATCCGACGGCCGCCGATCGACCGAACCGCTGCGTGATCTCGCGCCGCCGTCGGTCCTGCTACGGGGGATGGTACCACCCCTGGCGACGACGACGACCTCCTCCCGGACCGATTCACCCCAGAAGTCGCTGCTATCTCCAACCTGTACCCCGAAGTCGAGGCTTTTCCTGCTGCCGCCGACGTTCTCCTCCTCCTGCTGCTCTTCCTCCTCCCCCTGCTGCCCACGGGCGGCACCAGCCGGCCGGTCCGTATCCTGGGACCGGCCCGGGATCTCCTCGTAGAGACACTCCGAATCCTGATCCGTCGCAGTCGCGCTCTGCCACAACTGGTTTATTGGCTTGAAGCCGCGTGAATCGGCCATCGTTCAAGCTGCGCCCAAAGACAGAGACGGAAGCCGTGACACAGAATGGCTCTCGATCTCGCTCTCCTCTTTTTCTTTTTTTTTTTATCGTTTTTATCGTTTCGCTACTTTCGCTTGTGCGCCCGTGCGGTACTTACAATTAACGATTCTGTACGGTGCCGGTGGCGACTCTTTTGTGACTCGCAGCGGTCGCTTGTCTGCGATTATTCAAAAATTGTAATACAGACTTTTGCGAGACGGAGCCAGCAAAATGCGCGATACAGCGAAAAAACAATATCGCGTATCGCGGCGGCATTGATCTGCGTATTCGTAGCGCGCTGTAAAAGCAACGCGATACGGAATATTTCGATGATAGCGATACTTGGTTAATTGGCAAACTGTCGGCTCCAGCTCGGCGTTGCCGCTCTCTTGAAAATTAAATCTCGCAGAGTATCTGTAACGCATCCGATGGGCACGCGCGTATTAATTAATAAAAGGAGATATGTGCGCCCGGCAACGGTCGTCTGCGACGGCAGACGACACGAAGGAATAATTCACGGGGAGTTTACGCGTGGCAATGCGCATACAAAATAAGCAGCAGCACGTGCTGCTGCTACCGCTGCTGTTGCTGCTATCGCTGTCGCTGTTGCTGTTGCCGTTGCCTGCGGGCAACTTTCGCTCGCGTTACTAATAATACGAGACGTCGAGCGAAGTAAAGGATAACGGAAATAATAGCGTTTGCCTTCCAAAGTACGATCCCGGCGGAGCGGAAGTTGTCCCCCGCCCGTAGGGATGTAGACGGAAACAAACTAAACTCATCACATTCGGACGGCCGCTAAGTGATTTGCAGCGACGAGGACGGGAGATGGGTGCCGCGAACGGTGTCGCCTGCAGGCGAATTACGAGGGGGGCGAATCGCCGTCCTAAGAATGCACCGCGGCAGTTAACTCCAATGTAAACGTTCCTATTTTCTAGACGCATTCGATTGCACGTCGCGCAATATCGAATGGCACCCTCGAGTGTTTCGAGAGAAAAAGGGCGATATCGTGCGAATAACAATATAAGCGGTCATTACGAGTAAAAACATTCTCGACTCCGAGATATATTCTTCGGTAGCCACGGCGGAGGATTTTGGATTCGTAGATGTACGAGCTTTGCGAACGATGATAAGGAAACGGGGGTGAATTATCGTGTAGCAAAGATTGCCGTGGTGATGGAAGTCCATAATTTGTAAGGTCCACTTTACAGGGGCGAGCAGGGCTTCATATTTAAAGAGGACAAATTACGGACTTGGTGACTCCACTCGCGCTCTAAAACTTTCGCGTAATGATTCAACGTCAGCCTTTTTTATTTTTTAATGACTATACGAAAAATAGCCCTGTTACGAACAGATAGTGCATTACGAAATAAACGTAAGGTTTCGCGGAGAGATTTCCGTGCGGAACCGTACCGCGTTTTACTCGTAATGACCGATGTATTGTATTGGCGGTACGCGGAACTTTCTCTCTCCGAAACAGGCCATCTATCATAGATGAAGAAATACAGACTCACCTTCACAAGCAAGAATTCGCAAGCCATTGTGCCCGGCGATGATATATCACGACACGACTCGTTTCGTCTCGCACCTGCTCCTTGCCTCGCTCACGACGAAGAAAGAACTCCGTGGATCCGATCTATCAGCTATCGAGAGATCGCTTCGCGACGTAACGGCGGGAGGGGACGGCGAAACAACACGGGGAGAGGATAAAGAGGGTGTAGATCCACGGACGCGGATGTGAAACGCCGGGTACGGTGGAAATCCCAATTTTTACCGCGGGTACGGAACACCAACGTATCACGTCTTCAGAGGGGCCCCCCTTCCTCCGATCGATTGGATTTGTATCGGGCTCAGTACAAGGCGGCGAGTACTAGGAACCTGTAACAAACGAGCAAACCATTAGCTTCGCCAGGCCAAGACTGTCCCCTCGAATGTATCGTCGATTATGTATCGTCGATTAGGACGCGATAACGAAATCTGATATACGATTATTAGCTCGGACTCTAGCACCGACACTATTATCAATATCTTTTAACGTCTCAATTTCTTCGACGCGACGATTATCTATACGCGAGAAGAGAGTGACATTAAGATAGCAGTTTTGATTAAACCAAATTGTAAAACTGAAAAAGAAAAAACCGTTGAGACTTGTCTAAGTATTCTTGGTAACGCGCTAGTTGGAAAGGATAGCGCCGCTTCTAAGGTACGTCAGAATGAGATAAAAAACGTTATCTAAAGTTGAGCTATAGACAATTTCCAGCTGAAACGTCAGCTGGAGTTTTACCGCAGCTTAACGCATCCTATAGCTCATTCTAAAGACAGTCTTTAGAAATGACATAAAATCAATTAATCGGTTAAATTCAAGTAACGTTTATGGAAACATCAGCCTCTCTTCAGGCTCGCAACTCCGTCTTCGTATAATAATTTTATTCAGAAATATTTCTGTAAGGTTCGTGAAAAATTACACATAGAGCAAAGAAGAAAGAACACTTCTTTGCTCTTCGATTGGAAGCTGAACAATTCCAGGTCTTAGAAAGTCACTATTCGTTCTTGACGATGCACGAACTTGTGATCTGGAAAGCAAACTGGAGAGAGAAAAATACGGACAGAGGAATTTTTTATAAATCCATGAACAAGTAAAGAAATCATTGGGGCGGGAAGATCGCATCTGCAACACGATCCTGACCGTTGTGAAATTTTCCACCGTTTTCCGTGAAACGTGACATAAGACCACAATCTTTTAACTGCGTGCAGACGCGATTGCATTTAAAATTACATATTCTATTGATCGGGTAATTATTCCGTGTATTTCCTCGTGCCTCTACTTCGATTTCTACGACGGTATAGTCAGCTGCGATATCTCTAACTCTGACAATGTAGTTAATCTCCAGACTCTTCCTTTGTCAGATCCAACAGAATCATTTATGCCAATATACCTGCTATCGCAAATTTTAAATTCCCAAAAGATTGATTTGAATTAGAGATCGTCACTACGTGAATTCCGCCGCGATAAAATTGTTGGGCTGGAGATTAGACAACTAATGATGTAGACCAGACATGCACGAATTTCGATATGACCTTATCGCCGCGGTGTCAAGTCGAGGCTTCGGAATGCGTCGGCGTTCGACTTGGTTGGATTGCATCTCTCTCGTCCTCGCCCATGAATATTGTACCGAACCGTCGCTTTAAGCTTTAACACAACCATGAATAACCGAATCGGTCGAGCGGGACAACGAAATTTCTGAAGAATATAGAATTGGTGCACGGTAATATCCTCCTGTTAAAGTATTTTTTTGTTTTATTCCGTTTCTAGTAATGTCCAGTATGTAAATGAATAATGAACAATACGCATTGGTTGTTTAAAAAAGGCGTCCGTTGTGTGACAATTTTCCCACGATAGAAAATCGCATATGATTCACTCACTGATCAAAGTTTATTTAACCGTATAAAGCTTCCGGGCGTAATCAAGCGATTTCACGGAGAACAAGGGAAAACGATAAACACGATTTAATTAGTGGCATGGAATGATACAAATACTCTGGTGTGTTCTTTCTCTCTCTTTTATTGCTTATGTAATTAATTACTTATTTCCGGCGTTAAGACTCAATTAGCTGCGCGATATAATCGTCCCGATAACAGAGCAAATATGTAAAAATAGCCGGCATCATGAAAGATGATGTGAATACTTTATGACACGTCTTTATCACGTCGCTACTTGAAGTACATGTCACCGCGTAACCGAATTTTACGATTAAGATAAAGAATCGATTCGAAATATTGATTTTTATTATCTATTTATTAATACGTAAAAGTCGCGAAACAAATATACATGCTACTCGTACATGTAAACGATGTAACAATATTTTTTCAAACGTTGTAAACAACGTATTCTTTTTCTGATAAAGTATAATAGATAGGACCTACACAACACACGTTCGTCTTATCAACACTTTTGCCTAGTTCAAAGAAATGCAAGTAATCATATTGCATACGTAATATCGAACCATATTGTATTGAAATTTCTGCTACATGATAAAAATTCTGTTTCAGGAAAAATCTACGTGGTCGCGAAAATTCCGGCAGCGTTCACCGATCATAAAACCTGTTTACGACACTGACACACGCACAGTCGCACAGGTCGCACAGTAGGTTTCTGTTATGATGATCTACAAACAAGACGCTCTCACCTGTCGTATCGGACTCGTCGTTTATTCGCATCCTAGCGAGAACATAGAAAATGTCCGGCGGTACCGACGACGACGCGTGTTTACGAGATGGTAAGCTATACACTTTACGTCGCGCACGCGGGATCGAGCTGCAAGTGCATCGAGCGCGAGTTGCTGCGTGAAACTGAAAAGCTCGTTGTCGCTCGTTGACGCGACGCGACTCCGAACTGTACTGGACTGAAATTTATTCGAATTTCTCTCTTTGTCCCTCCCCCTGGTTTCCGTCTCGGTTTCTCCTACCATCGGGTTACGTGCAGTCACTTTGCTTTTATCTTCGTTCGACTAGCAGTCGCGCACAGCTTGTCCTCCTTTCATGCTATCGTCTCCCACCGTCGTTTTGCGTCAAGGTTTGCGCGCGCTAAACCTGACGGATCTCTCTCTCTTTCGCAGTTTCCGCGATATTTCGCAGTCGTGCTTGAAGATCAAACGCGTAGTATAGAAACGCGCGAATGAATCGCACGAAAATACTGGGTGTTCGGAAAACAATCGTGCAGCCGATTTTCTACAATGTTTATTAATTCTTTATTATCTTAGGTCAATTCGGTACGATATGTGATAAGTTTTTTAAGCAGTTAACGATTATACTAATTAAATATATATATTTTTTTAATATTTGACAGAAATTCAAGCAAAGAAGTTAATTATTATGTCAGCTAATGATAACGTAAAAATAGAATACTTATGATACTGATTTTTTTCGAACTGCAAAGTGTTAAAGAATGCACGTGAAGTAAATTCTTTGAAAGTCTTTTTTCTCCGTGAAAGCACAAACTGCTTCCGTTTGACGAATCAAATCGATTCCGTTTCAAAATATTTCTGACATATGTTATAAATAATCATAAATTAGTTTTCAGTGCGATTGCTGAACTGATTTAATCAAATATTTTGAATCAAGCATTTTTCGCGAATTAATTTTCAATGTGATTCCTGAACTTCATTTAATTAAGCATTTTTCGACATGTGCTAACAAGAACTTCCATTCATTTTCTCGAGTCTTGCTTGAATACACTGTGAGAATTTCGCTGCGCGTTTTATAAACGGCCTGTATAATGTGCATCATTATGCACGCGCCGTAATGTTGATTTTTCATGTGCCCTATCTCTAGTCATCAGTTCTATATAGACGGTATTACTGCATAAATTAGCTTCGCTTCTACGGATTTCGTGTGGAAATCTAGATGTATTGGCGTAAGATTTATTATGTCATGTTAAAATTAAGTGAAGAATTTTTACTTTTTTTTATTATATCAGAAAAGTAGATGAAAATTATAATAGCGTTTAAAGTAAATTATTATAAAAGTAAGAATATTTCCTTATCCTGCTAAGAACAATGAATCACTGAAGCAGTTTTTAAAACCAGTATTTTAGGAAAAAATATTTAGACAAATTAGGGATAAATTTTTTTAGGAAGACCGTTCTCACAACTACTTAAACTTTAGCTTTAAGTACCTTAGTGAATAAATCTGAAATTAAATTGCACTAAAGATTGTTTGAAATTAGATTACAAATAAGCTTTTACAGTTTATCTAAGCATCATGAATTTAACTCGTGAAAAATTCTTTACACCTTTAATTAGCTAGTTTTATCTATTAAGGAATAATCTACTTTAAACTAACCAAGATCTACGTCCTTTATTGGTTTTTAGACACTGTGTAGAAAAAAAGGTTTTCGACAACGCGCGCGAACCGTTTAAAATAAAGTCCTTTGCTCACGCTCCGACTGACGGCTACAACCCAGATCGGCACTTATACTGTAATGACCTTAACAAACCTCATTCCGAGCGTACCTCGTAAATGTCACGAGTATTAATCTATCCGCATGGGATGCAGCGTGGCTTGTAAAAAAAAAGAATATCACGCCGTCCCCTCTCATAATCGCAAGCTTCGATGAAATTTAATAACCGCTCGTTACCGCGAAGACGGCGAGAAATGTCTGCAATGTGATCACCTCGAGAAGAGACGCGATGTTACAAGGGAACAGAATTTATACTTGGATGCGAATGCAGCAGGGAAAGAAGAAAGAAGGCGCCCCGGCGTGTCGCGGCGGAGATTCTCGCGATGCATCTTCGGCCGCGACGCCGGCCGACAAGTTTTAGCCGCGGATTCGCAAAGTTCACGGCGCGAGACGCGACGGAGGTAGTCCTCCGCATTTGACGAACGCGTGCCCGCGACCTAGTTGCCCCTCGGTTTAGCCCCTCGATCATCCCCAAAGCCCGAACTTTTCATTCCCGCGACACTCCGCATGCACGGCCAGCACGACCCGGTGCCAATTTCGTGTCTTCGTCCTATTCATGCGCTCTTTTCTTTACTGCTCCTAATACACATCTCGCCCGAGAATAATGTCGACTGCACCGATTTATTACATACGTCGTACCTTACCGGTTGTAATAAGGACTCGGTAACTGCTGTTCGCTCGTATGAAGTAAATATCACGAACTTTAATTCATAAACACGTCCAGCTACAGATCAAGCAGAAGTATAACGCGATCCTATCTTTTTTAATTACAGTTTTAATAATAAAACGTTATCCCTCTCTCTCCCTCTCTTTCATAACGTCCACACGAAATATTA